AGTTTTGTCAGGCTTAGCTATGACAGTCGATAAGTTCTGTCCCAGTGTAAGGCGTGTCAGCTTCTAGCTTCTGATAGGCTGATTGTTAGCTTATAACCACGATACTCACAATTCGTAACCGCTAAGGAAGTCCCAAAGTTTAGTTACCGCGAATGCTACTTCCGTAGAGTTACAGCGGAGAGAATATGATAGGCTGAAAGGTTACCGTAAGTCTTAGCTCAGCAACATGATCCCTGCTTATTTTTTCCCGATAAGATTCTGAGCGCTTTAGTTAGAGCGCATGTCTCTTCTTACGTTTAAGATTCGTCCCGAAATAGCATTCAACTACTCGGCCGATCGCTGCTATGAGTCGCCGGTAGCTGAACGTCATGTCAAGGCCACCTGAATCTTGCATCATGATACGTGAAGAAACACCGTCGGCGATTCAATTTTGCTACTCTAAGCTGTGTTAGGACGTTAAGCTGTGGAATGACATACGAGCGGTTTCTGCTGGCATCTTCCGGTAGCAGCAGTAGCACGGAACCTTCTAACAGCATTTGCTCACAGCATCGACAGTTTTCACGTCAGAATAGCTCCGTAGTGGTCTACAAGTGTCATCATCAGCGATACGAGAAGCATTTCGGACGACGGAAGCAGGTGTTTGCGATGCTACTGATGCCGGTCTTCTTGGCGGAACTCGAATCTTCACAATAAAACTTGTTGGAACACCATACGTGGGTTCGCCGAGCTCCATATCTGTCGTCGCCTGCATAAGTGACATTCTCACAAGCGATTAACGGCGCTCTTCGAGGATAGTTCGGCGAGTGAAGTTCACGGATCAAGGCGACCGGCATCCGGCGTCACGCTGACTCACGGCGACACGGGGACCGTCGTCGCCGAGTAAGAGGGTGCGAGGCCGTCGTCGGTGTTGACCTGACGTGAGCGGCGAAAGTAGAGCGGATAGCAGCGATCGGCGACTGTCGAATGGCGAGCGGTGAGCAGCGAATGTCGACCGGCTCGTGACGAACTAGTAACGTGCGCGGGAATTGGCGAGCGGCTCTTGAACCACGAGCAACCATGCGGATGATGGCGACCAACCGCGTACGACGTTCCGCGTGCGACGTTGTGTGGATGCTGGCGGCATACCGCTCGCGACGATGTGCGGAAGATGGCGGCGAATCGCGTGCGACGTTCCCTGTGCGACGGTGTACACAATGGCGACTTACCGCGTGCGACCGTCTGCGGAAGACGTCGACTTACCGCGTGCGACTTTCCGCATGCGTGCGGCGTTGAGCGGATGCTGGCGACATCGCGCACACGACGATGTGCGACCAACGGCATGCAACGTACCGCGCGCGACGTTGTACAGTTGCTGGGGACGAATCGCACACGACGTTTCCCGTGCAACAGTGTGCGGAAGACGGCGACGAACCGCGTGCGACGTTCCTGTGCGATGGTGTGCGAATGATGGCGAGTGCGACCGTGTGCAGAAGACGGCTGCCAACCGCGTGCGACGTTCCGCGTGCTGGCGACTGCGACGATTTGCGACGAACGGCATACGATGTACCGCGTGAGACATTGTGCGTGCTGGAGACCAACCGCGTGCGACGTTTCCCGTGCGACGTGTACGGATGGTGGCTACTTACCGCGTGCGATGTTCCTCATGCGGCGTTGTGCGTAAGCTGGGGGCATGCCGCATGCGACGATGTGCGACGAACCGCGTGCGACGTTGTGCGGATGCTGGGGACGAGCCGCGTGCGACCGTGTGCAGACGACGGCGACCAACAGCGCGACACTGTGCGGATGCTGCTGACAAACCGGATGCGATGATGCGCCAATGATCATACCACGTCCCAGAAGCAGCTTCAACACTTCTCCTGTGGCTAAGTCTCCTCTTTGCCCTCCTTCCCCCCCCCTCTTCACCTCACCTCCCCCTTCGCTGTCTTATTCCGTCTCTTTCACTGCTGCCAAACGTCACTTCTCCTCACCTCCCCTCACCTGCCATCACTTGCTGGGCGCATGGTGGTGGTGGTCCGTGGTGCTATGGCAGCAGAGCTCATGTAGAGTGCAGAGTAGTGGGAGCGGTGGGAGAGATGAGTGGGAGAGGGAGTGCATTCATGCCATGCGCGCGTCCCTCTCTACCCCAGTCCCCCCTCGCTGGCTCAGCTCGCTGCTCTAGTGCCGTGGGCCACTGTCGCCATGCGCCTTCCCCCTCTCACCACGTCCCAAACCACTTGATTGCGCTGTGCACGCTGAAATTCCAAACCATGCCGTTCTTTATTTGTCTGTTTCCGGCATTCATTTTTGCCGTGACTTGCTTGTTCCTTTCTTGTTCACCGTCCGTCGTTTCACTCTCGGTTTGTCGCTCTATGTGCTCTCTCTTTCTTGTTGTTCCTCATGCAGGGCGGCAGTGGGTTGACGCACGGCAAGCACAGCGGCTGCTGCCCGCGCTGCTGATTACAGCTCACTCAACGGGAGCGCGTGCAACGGGAGAGCATTTGGGCGTGCGCGCCGCGGGGATGACGCACGGCTACTGCCCTGCTGACCACCCGCTTGGGCGGACGAGTCGGACATTGCTGGCAGAGCGCTTTGGGCGTGGCTGCTGGCAGCTCGCGAGGCGAGGAGGCAGAGGTGCTATGCTGCTGCTGCTGCTGGGAGGGCTGCTGCTGGGAGTGCCGTTGATGATGGGAGTCACTCTGCTGCTGGGAACAACTGCTGCTGCTTCCGACTCTCAACCCGTCGTACCGCTGCTAAGTCCCCTCTTAACCCCTTTGCTCACCCCATTGCCATCCATATCACTTTCTGTCTTTGATTCATTTCCGTAGCGCATTGTTCTCTCACTGCATGGCGATGGTAGCGCATGGCACTGGGGCGGCTTGAGCTCATACTAGAGTCGTAGGGGGTTAGAGTAGAATGCATTCATAATCATGCTGCGTCCCTTCCTAATTTGCCTGCTAGCTCGGCGCCCTAGTGCTGTGTGCTACCATCGCCTCCCCTTTCACAGCGTCACAGTGCCACGTGCTTTTTATCGTTTACTTTCGTTTCCTTTGCTCATTGTTTTTGTTATCTCTGACCCCTTGCATGCATTTCACTACTTTCCCCTGCTCTGTTTTCTTGCTCTCCTTCCCATCTCGTCTGGTGCTATGGCAGCGTGGTGCGGGGGGGGGGAGGGCGGTGGGATGACGCACGGCAGGCAGTCACAGCGGTGTGCGAGCCTCCTGGAAGCCTGACGCCACTGTCCTGCAAGCACCCCCATACGGCTAAGTTCCCTCTCCCTTCGCCCTTGCCATCCTTACCGCTTCTGCTTCGTGTTTATCATTGCCCACTTTTGTACCGCATTCTTCCGTCACCGCGTGATCGAACAAATGGGCGATCAAAAGTTGAGTGAGAGATGAGCGGCGTTTGGCGATGGTAGCGCATGGCACTGGGGCGGCTTGAGCTCATACTAGAGTCGTAGGGGGTTAGAGTAGAATGCATTCATAATCATGCTGCGTCCCTTCCTAATTTGCCGGCAAGCTCGGCGCCCTAGTGCTGTGTGCTACCATCACCTTCCCTTTCACAGCGTCACAGTGCCACGTGGCTTTTATCTTCAACTTTCGTTTCCTCTACTCATCGTTCTTGTTATCTCTGCCTCCTTGCATGCATTTCACTACTTTCATGCTTCTACTGACTACTTGGGTTCCTTTCCCCTGCTCTGTTTTCTTGCTCTCCTTCCCATCTCGTCTGGTGCTATGGCAGCGTGGTGCAGGCAGGTAGGGCGGTGGGATGACGCACGGCAGGCAGTCACAGCGGTGTGCGAGCCTCCTGGAAGCCTGACGCCACTGTCCTGCAAGCACCCCCATACGGCTAAGTTCCCTCTCCCTTCGCCCTTGCCATCCTTACCGCTTCTGCTTCGTGTTTATCATTGCCCACTTTTGTACCGCATTCTTCCGTCACCGCGTGCTCGAAACAAATGAGCCCATTTTCGAATGGGAGCGATCAAAAGTTGAGTGAGAGATGAGCGGCGTTTGGCGATGGTAGCGCATGGCACTGGGGCGGCTTGAGCTCATACTAGAGTCGTAGGGGGTTAGAGTAGAATGCATTCATAATCATGCTGCGTCCCTTCCTAATTTGCCTGCTAGCTCGGCGCCCTAGTGCTGTGTGCTACCATCGCCTCTCTGTTTTCCCTGCCTTTTTGGTTAGGCGCTTGAAATTCCTGTTCCACTTCTGCCCTCCGTCTGTGGACTTACTTACTGCATCCCATTTTTTTTTATCCCTATCCTGAACTCTGTCACTTGTTCCAGGCCAATGGAGTGTGAGTAGCAAGGGGCAGCAGAGGCAGCCACTGGAAAGGGTACTGCTGATATGGGTGTTTCTGCGAGGGGTGCTGCTGCAAGTGCGACCACTGGGGGTAACATGGGAGGAGCTGTGCCTTGACAGTTTGCTCTCTCGTTTCTCACTCATGCAGTTGTCCAGGAAAAAACTGCTGTTTCCGCTTTTTACCTTTCTTTTGCGAACTCACTTTCTTTCCCTGCCTCTTACACCTGTCTCTTTGTGCTTCCCCTCACTTTCATCCCAACAGCAAGAATGTAGTGGGTGTAGGAGGGTGCAAGTTCTGCTGGTGGCGGTCCTGCTGCCCTGGTGGTGATGGTGATGGTGATGGCGCGTGCAGTGCTTCCACTCGTGCTGATAGTGCTGGCGCTGCTGCTGATGCCATCACTCTGATGGTACTGGTCATGCAACCCTGGCTGATGGAGCTCTCTGGTGAGCTGCTTCCTCTGTAAGGTCTTCCCCCTCTGTTGTTCTTGTTCCCTCCTTCTGTCATCTTGTTCTCGGTTTCCTAGTCTCCGGTCCTGAACTCCTTCTCTTGTACCGCTCCTCTTCTTCTCGCCATAGCCTGACTTTCACCTTTATTCGATCGCCCTCCTTTCTTCTTGCTTTCCTTGTTCATCTCCTGTGTTCGGGAGCAGAGGAGGACGCAGAGGGAGCAAACAAGAGGGAGGGGAGATAAAGGAGCACGTATGTGAGAGAGAACACCTGTGATGTGGTGAGTCTCCTCTGACAGATCCTTCACCCTCGCATTCGCTGTGGCCTGCTCCTTTGATCCTCTACACGTCGCTATGTGTTCCTGCTCTGCCTCACTCTCACCGTTCTTTCAATCCCATCCTTTGCAATTGCCTCATTGCCTCCCATTCACTTGCAGTTGCCTCCTTGCCTCCCACTCTCTTCCCCCGCCCCCTCCTCACCCCATTCCTTATTTTGCCAGATTCTTCTGCCTCGCATTCGCTGTGGCCTGCTCCTTTGCTCCTCTACACATCGCTATGTGTTACTGCTCTGCCTCACTCTAACCGCCCTGTCAATCCCATCCTTTGCAATTGCCTCATTGCCTCCCACTCACTTCCACTTGCCTCCTTGCCTCCCACTCTCTTCCCGCGCCCCCTCCTCTCCCCATTCCGTTCTGTATTACTGCACCTTCGCCCTCATTCTGTATTCCGTTCTTCCCTATCACCACTCTTCCTTTCCCTGTCTCTCTTCCAGCAAGCGAGGACAGCAAGGTGAGACAGCAAATGGGGAGCCGAAGGGAACACAACGGGCATACGATGTGGTAAGCTCCTCCTGCTGCCCTTTCGTCTCCCTTGCCACTCCTTTTCTGTTTTTCCGGTCAAGCGGGCATTCGCATGTTGCATGCTAAGTTCCCCTCGCCTAGCCAGCCCTCTCCCTTAATACTTCGATTTGAACATCATCGTTGCTCCTCCCATACCTACTTGTCTCCTCCTCGCCTGCCTATCATCCTGCAGTCAAATATAACATGGCACGGGAGTGTCAGCAACAGCAATATCAGCAAGGGACAACTAGCAAGGGCGAATCAACTGAGCCCTTTTTCCCCTCCTGTCCTTCTTCTCCTCAAAGCTCCTTCTTCTTCTTCCCCTCTGCTTCTTCTCGCCGCCTTCTCTCCTCCCATACCCTCCTGCGCCGCCGTCTGACAACAGGCACGTCAATGGTGGCATGGGAGGGATTACAGGCGAGGTCAAGTCAATCGAGTTTTTCTTATGGTAATGCTGCTCGCCCCACACTCTTCTTCTCTGCCCCCAATTTCCCTCTGTCGGCCTCTCGGTTGAATCTCCTCTCTGTTTCTCATTTCGTTTACCTTCGCTCCTCTACCTTCAGATGCCTTATTTCTGGACTCTTCCTCTCCTCTTTCCTCACGTTATTGATCTCTCCGCTCTTCCTCTTCTCATTCTTTACATGCCTTTTTCCCTGGTATTCCTCCTTCAGATCTGATCAGCAGCAGTGGGCGGGGCAGCATTTTGGCAGCAGAATTGGAGCACGAGCGTGCACAAGAATAGCACGTGCTTTGAGGACTTTTCTAGTGGTGAGTTTCTGCACCCACCCCTTTCTCTTCTGCACCACACTTGCCTGGCACGCCAATACGCCTTCCATCCCAACACTTCCTGTCCATGTCTCACAGTCCTTTGCCTTCCATGGCCGTTTCTCTCTCCGCTCGGCAACACAATTTTGCTGTGACTGATTTTTTAACAGAAATGGAACCATAATCTTCAACACTAGCTGACATGCTCGTCTCCTTTGATCTTCTCTTTGTCTCTCATTTTCCAATCGCTCTTTCTCTGCTTCGTTTTGAGTGTGTTGTTGACTTGACAGGATTGGACTGGTGAGGCAGGGATTGTGTTTGCCTGGTGGAACCCACTGGAGTGGCCAACTGGTGAAAAACTTATCGGTATCTCTCTAGGTGAGAAAAGGGCAACCAAACACAGACTGAACGTATTCATAAATCCATATCGTATTTCTTTTTATCACATAGAGAAGCTCAACTCTCGTCTGCCTTGCCGCCTCCTCTCGTCTGCTTGCAGGACAACCACGTGCTTGCAAGACGGAAGATGAAGAACAAATATTCTAGAGTAGATAAGTTATCTAGATTAGTAATGCTTTCTGGTATGGTATCTTCCCCCCCCCCCTCCCACCCTCTCCTCCTTGACCCCCAAATCCCAACCCACCCACTCCCCCTTACTCCATCCCATCCCATCCCGTCCCCTCACCTCCAACCCCCCTCCCCCTTCGTAGGCATTTCCCCACATCCTCTCTTTCCCTCTCGCTGCGTTGCCCCTCCCCATTCCTCCCTCTGCGACCCTCCTCCCCCTGCAACCCACCTCCCTCTGTGACCTACCACCCCATGTGACCCACCAGCAACCCCCTGCGTAGGCTAGACTAACCACAGTACTAATCACAGGGAATCACAGGGCTAACCACAGGGCTCACTACAGGGCTAACTACAGGGCTAACCACAGGGTTAATCGCAAGGGTAATCACAGGGTTAACCGCAAGGCTCATCACAGGTCTAATCACAGGGTTAATTGCAGGAGTAATCGCAGGGTTAACCGCAGGGCTCATCACAGGGCTAACCACAGGGCTAACTGCAGAGGTAACCACAGGGCTAATCAGACAGCTTGTGCCTAGTGCGTAGCATACTAGTTACAGGGCTTGTGCCTCTTGGCACGCTAGTCAGAGAGATGATGCATGGGATACTCATTCACAAGGCAAGGGCCCTTACCAGAACACTAACCCAAGCCATGTGAACATAGTGTCCACAAGCCATGTGAATATGAGCACTATAGCCACAGGGTCAGTGCATTAGGGCAGGCTCCCTACAGGGCTAATCACAGAGGTGACCACAGGGCTCATCACAGGGCCAACCACAGGGCAAACCACATGGGTAACAACAGTGCTCAATCAGAGCTTGTGCATCGTGGCACGCTAATCACAGGGAGGATGCATGGGTTGCTATGCTACGGTAATTTACAAGGCTTCTTACCACAACAATAACCACGATTTTCAGGATCTGAACATAGTGTCCACAAGGCATGTGCACCTGGGCACTAGAGCTTCAGGGTGTATCCAGCACAGCAGAGCATACTAACCACAGGGCTAGTGCATTGGGGCTGGTTTCTCTGCAGGGCTTGTGCATCAAAGCAAGTGTACCAGTATTTCCACCTCCAATATAATGTGTGCTTGTAATGCAATAGTCTGTAGTATTTATATACAGTAACTCAAAATGGAGAACAGTGTCTTAAGGTTTCTTTTTTTCATGCCACTCATTGACGATGTGGCACAAAGTAATCAAAATACACGCTTATTCAGGGTTGCAGCTTGCACGCACAAGCTTGAGCTGCACAGCTCTGGTGTCTTTAGGGTCAGCAGGACCCTTGCAAAAATATGACACGGTACTACATAGCCAAAAAGTTGCTGGCTCTGCTTGGCAGTGCCAGACTTTGCTGGCAAAAAATGCCCATATATCTGTAGAGTGAGAAATGTGAAGGTTAGAGACAAATTGTCGTACACCAAGTGACGCAGCAGACAAGAGACTCACCACATGGAGGTTGTAGTCGTGGATAATGCAATACGTTGACATGTACATCCCTACGAGGATTGAAGCTCGTTGGCAGAGAAGCTCCTTCTGAGGCGCGAATTTCTAAATTCTTGATGCTGCAACGGTGGTGGCGGCTGTGCTGAAAAGCACACAGTTACGACTGTCACGTTGTCACCAGAATCTCTCCGAATGGCCTCCTGCACCAGTTCCTGAAGAAAAAACATCCATGCGATTGGAGGAAGAAACCGTCAGTAAAGCCTGAATGCTTAGTGCCAGGAAACCAGAAATGCATAACGAGCCAAAAAGTAAGGCAAGGGAGTTGCAACGCAGCACAGACCTGTGAGCATTGCTGAGGGTTGTTGTGAACACGCAGTCTCTTTCGAGCAAAGGAAACCACCTCATGACTGTGGCGGAACGCATCCCAGAGACCATCACACCCAATCACAAGAAACTCATCCTCCTCCGTCAGCTCTGCCTCACGTAGCTCAGGCTCCGCTATAAGCGGACCCACCACTGTTTCCCCATCTGCTGCCCTGTTCTTCATGCCCTGGGATGCGACAAACAAACCATGCATGGCAATATGAAAATATACGAAAGTTAGCAGACTGCAATAAAAAAAAGGCAGTATTAAACGTAACATTACTTACACAACCTGCTTACCTGCAAATGCCAGTCGCCGAGAGCTCTCGTTACAGCAAGTTGATCGTTCAGATAGTCTTCGACAATAAAGCCGCCTGCCAGGTACACCCGCTCCCTCTCTAACTGACAGGACGGACGGTGGTCCCTGCTTAGCTCCACTACTTTTCCTCGCTGACACAGCACAGCTCGGCAGTCACCAGCATTTGCGACGTACAAAGCCCTGAAACGACCCATTTTGTAAACCGGTCAGCAACAATAAAAAAGGAACTACGCGAACAACACGGCAAAGCATGAAGATGATGACATACTTTCCCAGAAGCAGAACTGCCAGCGCGGTTGTCCCTGATTCCATTGGCTCGCTGGCCAGAGTATGCGCCATCTCCAGCTCTCGATCGGTACGCATGAACGCATTGCAGATTGCTTGTCCTACTTGATCTGGGAAAGACGGATCACTAAGAATGTTCCCTAGCAACTGACTGCTCACGAATTTCGCAGCAGCGTCACCACCATGCCCGTCAAACACCTGAAACGGGAGTTGGATGTCAGCCCACCAATGACCCATATGCGACCCAGGGGAAGCGCAACAAAGCAAGGCACACTCACCCCGTAAAAAGATCCCCGTCGCGAGAACGACAAATCACCAAACGACTTCGTCAGGTCATCAACCATCACATGCGCATCTTCCATGTTCTTCCTCGGACCCTGATCAGATCCATGTCCTGACCGAACGACAGGCCACTCCAGTACCGACGTGGAACGCGGAAACAGCTGGTCAGATACTGGCTTCAAACCATAGGCGCGTTCTGCAGAATCAGACTCCGTGACTTCCTGCAGACGCCAGCCAATGCGCAACGTCTCTCAGACTCAATATCTTCAGCATAAAAGACCAAGATACGTAACGTCTATCAATCAACTACGGTAAGATGCTTTAGTAGGTAACTCACATGTCTGGCTGAAAGTACAACTTCTTCCTCGCTTGGTAGCAGGTTGCATGTGAAGCTACGTCTCATCAACCCGAGAGGGTTGTTGGCAGACTGTTCCTTGACGCTCATAACGGAGCAGCGTGACTGTAACGTGAAGCAAGACTCTGGTAAGGCACAACCACTGTGACCATTGAATGGTGTCAAAGGACTTTCGTGAGAGCTTTCGTCCTCCGCTTCAGGAATCATGGTAGTGCTGAGCCACGAGAAAGGCGTTAATCCCTGTCCTAGCCCTGACACGTCTGCATCCTGGAAACGTCTACCTTCTTCCATGCCTAAAGCACTCCCTGAAGCGATTGCTGCCATAACCCCGATTGGCGATAAACCTGGCATACGTGAGTTTCCAGCAAACCCTATCTTTAAAGAAACAACGGACTAACGAGTTGGCTCTCGAAAGCAGGTACACAACGCGCGAGCGTAAGAGGCGAATATCGTTACTACGGAAACTTCCACTATACGCTATCCTTCTTCACAAGCAGGCTACTAGATTCCTTAGACCTGGTAGAGAATGATTAGTTCATAACATAGCTGCTCAACGAGTTCCTGGTCGAAGGCATTATTTGTGGGTGTTCTAAAGCCTTGAGCTGAGAGGAGGATGCAAGGGTGGGCAAAAAGCGGCTGGCTGATGCTGTGGTGTTGCGTGTGGTGGCTGGTGCAGCTGTGTGCCACATCAGCCGCCAAAAAGCTCCGCTGACTGCTCAGCGACAGTTGCAACTGCGATGACGTGCGAACGGTTTGTTCGGATCAACCGAGGATTTATGGCCGCAACTGCAGCTGGCGTACGCTCGGCTTTGTGGTGTCGCCCGCAGGGCTGGGAGTTCATCAGGCCTACACACGGGCTGGAACGCGAAGCGAAGTGATGGGCAGGCTAGTGTTCGCAACGACCCTGGAGAACTTGTGTTGTCACATCACCACCACCACCTGGCACTCGCTGGTTTCTTTCCGCTCATCGTCACCGTCCGCCCGAAAAGGAAACCGTTCTTAGCCATCGATAACGAAGAAGGGGAAAAAGGGGCAGGTTCGTGACGTGGCGGCAGATGTTGTTGGGGAGCCAGCATGGTAGGAGCCATTTGTTTTCGTAAAGATTGCCCGAATGCCGTGTGGCCAATCACAAGGCCGAGGTCAGCGCATTTTTGCGCTCATCATGATAGGGCTGGGCAAGAGCCAACTTCCCCACCACCACGAGGATTCTCCCGAGAATCGTGGAAGCCCAAAAAGGACAATCGAATAATCTGCAACTCGGATCTAGAACCATGCTCAATAAGAATCTGTGGTTACAAGTGTTCCCAACAAAACTTATATTTATAAGTAGTTTCGTTGGTTGGATCCACTGATTTGAAGGTAATTACGTACATTAATGTGGAGGATACTATCACAACACCTCACCACTCTGCATGATTGAGGGCAAGATAACCTGATCTATACCGTCCATTTGTGAGCCTAAGCTCATTGATGAGCCTGTTCCAATTGGAAGCTAGAGCTCCAACAAAAAAATCACATTCTGATGCTATTATCAGGTTAACAAAGCTGGCTGCAGTTACTGCACCAGGGCCTGCTGACTGCTCATAAGAATAGAAGAACTTGTTTCCTGTTTGCCTCTGCACCTTGGTGAAGAGGAAGATCCAGTCCTGGAAGCGGGACACTGCTTCATCAACGACAGTCTGCAAACATGGGAGAAGGGTAGGAGGGCAATGAGATGGACCAACGAGTGAATTACCCACGTGCATGGGCTACTAAAGGTGCATGCATGGGTATTCTTTGCTGGAATACCCAAAGCTGCCGGAATTGTTTACAGAAGAAGGAATGGGAGGGGGTGAACAGATTCCCAAAGCACCACACATACCTGCATTTCTGTGCTGAGCCACACATGCTTGAGGTTTGGCACATGCAGCCGTAGGCGATGGCCGAGATACACATACGAGGCGAGCGAGAAGAGCAGCATCTCATGGCCCTTGTCCCCCTGCCGCACATGCATGCTCACTATCGGCCTGAAGATAAACAGCTCTCTCCCAACACCACCTTCCATCATCCTGCCCGCACCATCACCCCCTGCATCTGCGGCAGAACTAGAAAGCATGTCAGCAGTGCCATCCGAGGTGGTGAGGAGGGCAGATTGAGTGGCGGCCACGCGAAGGGCGACGCGGTAGCCATAGGTGTCGTGGCGGGCGCGGTTGAGGAGGTGGCAGAGGTAGCGCGAGGGCCAGCGCAGCATGAAGCGCAGCGACTGCGAGCGCCACCACGCCACCTGCAGGTAGCGCCCCTCCGCGTCAAAGCGGCACCCCAGCAGCTCCGTTGACACCTGCCTCTGCACCCATGGCGTCCCCCAGTGGCTGCCATGTGTGCAATGCGGTGCAATGTGGTTTCAAGTCAGTCAGTGACGACATGGCAAGTGCTGCAATGCCTGGAGGTACGATCTGAACAAGGACTAGAGCGCAGCCGGCAACCAACCCTGGAGCTGCACGGCCAACAAGTGAAGAATTGCACGCACACACAGTGGTTCTCCTCAAAAACGGCAGAGATTGCGAGTACGTACAAGGCAGCAGAGGCCTCCTTGGCCATCTTGGCCTGGAAGCGAGTGACTCCGGGAAAGAACACGACGGGCAGGTCCGACTGCAGCAGCTCGCTCAGTCCCGGCCCGGGGTCAGGTGGTGGGATGGGGTGAGAGGGGCCGTGCTCCTGCTGCTGCTGCCACAGGGAGAGCGCTTGCTGCTGGCAGGCGAGGGAGGTGAGGGGGAAGAAGTAGCAGGAGAGGGAGCCGTAGTCCGGCCCTGCACAGCACAGCACACGGGCATGGCATGTGGGGTGGGTGAGCCAGGGCTGTCCGCTATGGCGTACAGGCAACGAAACAAACGCACGTGGTGAATAATGAGAGCATGCGTGGCGGAAAACAACAACCACATTCTGCACAAAAACCGTATGAGAGGCCCCCCTTTTCCCCCTTTCCCTACTCCAAAGCCCACACACCTGAGCAGGAGTTGTGCGTGGCGTGGGAGAAGGAACCGGGAGCAGGCACGAGCACACGGCCGTGGAAGAAGGCGAGGCTGAGCGCGGCGCTCATGATGTGCAGCTGCGACCCCAACCCGTGCCCGCGCGGGTGCTTCCACTCCACCAGCAGGAAGCGCACGGGGCGGACGGGGAGGAGGGGGAAGAGGGGGAGGGGGAGGGAGAGGGGGAGGGGGAGCAGGTGGGGGGGAACTGGTGCAGCCAGAGGTCGGTCTGGGCGATGCGTGTGAGCGCCAGGTTGTCCTCGTCTGCTCCGCGGATCTGATGGGGGGAGAGGGAGCACGGGAGTGGGTGTGAGTGGGGGTGAGGTGAATTGTGGGAGAGGGAAGGCAGGAGGAACTCAGAGAAGTGGTTGCTTGAATCATGTGCAGCGGATAGGCTAGTGTGACGGGGCAAAAGATAGGCGCCGTGACGGGGACACCATGTGCATAAGGTGGTAGGAGGGAATTGGCACCAAGTGGTATCACAACACCCCTACGCCACCCACCCTCCCTCGTTTCCTCCCTCCATCCCCGCTCACCCATGGCGGAAGCGGCCCCTGCTGCCCCCCTTCAATCACTTGCGCCCATGGAGGTGGGGTCATTTGCCCCCCTGCACCTTGCCTACCCCCTCTCCTCCGCTCCGCCTGCTCCCGCCGCCACGTCACCCTCGCGCAGTCCTCCAGATGCGGCGCTGGCGGCACGCTCACGCGCCCCTCTGCGCCCACTGCCACGTCAGCATCGCCAGGTGCGGCGGTGATGGCGGAGGCTGCAGCAGCGAGGGAGACGGGGAGGCGGACGGCAGGGGGAGGCGCGGTGAGGTTGGCGGAAAGGCCGTACGCCGCGTCCCACGCCTGGATAAGGGGGGCGGGGGGAGCAGGGGAGTCGCGGAAAGACGGGAGGTGGCGGGGAGAGTACCTGATGGGGACTGGGAAGGGGTGAAGCGAATGGGTAGAGAGTGGTGGGGAAATTGGCCCGAGGGGAGAGACAGCCGTTTCTGGCTGTTGCCTAGCGCAGCAAAACCTCTATTCTCCAGTGCCCCAATCCCCAACCACCCGGTTCCTTTCGCATCCCCGTTCTTTCCCCCAACATCCGCCGCCCTCCCATCCTCCCATCCTCCCATGGAGGCATTTTACCTTCCCTTCCCTTACTCGCTCCCCCCGCCCCCCCCCCCCCCACTTCCCTCCCCCCCCCACCATCTTCCGCCATCACCGCGGGCGCACATCGAAAAGCAGTTGCGCGTGCTGGTGACGTCCGCTCACACTCGCTGCGCGCGCAGACCGGCCAATGCGACGCTGACACGTCAGGGCCAGCATAAGAAGCGCACGACAGTGGAACGCAATTCGAGTCGACTCACGACGACGATGCAAGAAGCCGCGCGCGACAGGAACTCTCCGTCGTTTCAGCTGGACTAGGCTGGTAGGTATGCTCAAGGAGGGCCATGGCGGCGTGCGAGACGCCATGTCATGACACGCGCGAAGAGTAAACTATGGACGGCAGGGTCGGAGGAGTCTAAGGGGCGAGAGTCGATCGGACGGACGGCGAACGGCGACAGCGGGAGAGTAAACGAGCGGGAAACGACAGCCAGACGCAGAACCGAGCGGAAGAGTAAACTTCGGGGCTGGAATGTCGGCATACCCGGCACAGGCTCTTACACGATTCCTGCCTCTTGTTGCTGCCTTGCCAGATTTTCATATACATTGCTCACTGCACATAAACAGTTATTATGGTACTCGTAGCCTCTATCAGAATTCAATGTGACAAGTCAGTTTTCTTAATCTGCATCGCTCGTAAAAAAGATAATTTGTTATTCTGTGGCCAGTGTTTTGAATTTGTTTTTTAAGAAGGAAATAAAATATTTGATGCTAAAAAACGCCACATGTATACACTAGCAAAACTCTGTAGAGAAATATTCGTTGATAGGTGTAGCATATGCAAGGACATGTGTTATGTGTGAGCGGCAGGGTTAAAAAGTCATGCTCGTCATTGTCCCGCCAACGTGGTCTCCTATGCTTGGCGGTTCGTCAGGCTCCGTGATTCTGGGTGCCTTGAAAGGAGGAAACGTGCTGAACGTGGTCACTGGTAACACATGGCTCTTTCGCAAAGAAGCTCGTCATTATCGCAGTTTCTGCTAACGAGGGGTGGGTCAACATGTGCCGCCATTTGCGATAGCTCGCTCGCACCCCTCACCTCCGACGCGCGGGCGGCTCCGCGGTATTTCCCGAAGCGAACAATTTGAGAGTCGAACATTTCGGGAGCAGTGGGCCGTGAGATGTGAGCTTTGGGCCGTGGGCTGTGGGAGATTCGACTCGAAACAAGGACTGTGCCCATTCACCCGTTGATTCCTCACGTCTCCCTTCTCCACCACTCTTCCCATCCCATACCATCGCTTCCACACCACACTGCAACCTGCTCTTGCTGTCCCCGACCAGGCCTCATCGAATTCGTGAAAGCCAGCAACGAGTATACAAGCGGTTATGATGGAAGATTGACCTCTCACCACCAGCAAGAAAGCGCTTGGTAGGCTATGCGGGGCTCGTTGTTGCAAGTTGTTAGCTGGTAGGAACCATCTTAGAGGTAAAGCGTGACGAACGATATAGCAGGCGTAAATTATTCTTCTTTGTGGTAGTGCGAGGGTCCATGGCGGTTGGTCCAACGAGTCAGCCGCGCAGCAGCTGCTTCACGCTTCGCCTCTTGGGCAAACAGAAATCCACCAAGAGCAAGAGGCAGTCCACCGTGCATCCCGTGGGGGATCTCACCGCTCACCCAGCGCCCGCCGCGGAACAGCCACGTGGCGATAGTAGGAATGGCGCCGCGAGAGCTGGACGCGGACAGGTCGCAGGAGTAGAGATTTATACCGCCACAGCTGCGCCAGCAGTCACTGTTTCACATAGTCATCGCGCGCAGAATGACCGTCCCGAAGCCGACGACGGCCGGCGAGTGCAATACGCGCAGGATCTAGCAGCGGCGCCGCTAGAGCGATCTCTAGAGCGCGCCGAGCGAAGTCTTGTGGCAGCAGCCGTAGCTGGCGCTGCGTCCACATCGCCATGCGAATCATCGGCAGGAACGCCGGGGCCGCAGGTAGCGGCTGGAATTCGGCTAAAGCTGCATCGTGTGGAAGAGGAGCCGTCCAGCTCAGATGCGCCTGATGCCGTCCCCCAAGGCTCCAACGGCGAACATCCCAAGTATCTTGTCGCGCGCTCCTCGAGCAGCGACTTTTGCGACGATACGCGATCCATGCAATCCTCGCGGCGGCCGTCGCTCACCGGCGGGCGAAGCTACGAGAAGGTGCGGCGGGAGGGGCAGGAGCTGTACCGGCGGAAGGAGTACGCGGCGGCGGCGGAGAGCTACGGGGAGGCGATGCTGGCGCTGCTGCGCGAGGCGGGGCGCGACGACGCGACGAAGCGGTCGCTGCAGGCCGTGCTACTCGCCAACCGCGCCATGTGCTTCCGCTACCTGGGCAGGTCCGTGCTGCCGATACCGCTTAGATGGGTCCTGGATCCGTTAAATTAATTCATAGCGAGGAGACGAGTCAGCGGGTTTGCGCGTAGATGGATCGGCAACTCTCTGAACAAAAACGTCTATTCTCCTTTTGGGTATTTCCTGGTCGACCTCCAAATGGAGTTGAAGATCAGGCGCCACGACTTGGTTCAGATCTACTCAATTTACGGCTGGACCGTCGTGGTGTTGCTAACGGCGCGCAAATTTGCACCCTATAAGGCATGCCATGCGTGCCAAGAGATCGCAGCCGTGTTCCTGGTTTCCCCGAGCATAAGGCTAAGAGCGCTTTGATCTTTCGCACAAGGTCTTCTCGTCGACTCTTGGCAGTTTTTCGCATACCTCGCGCCTCATCTCTTCCCCCAAATTCCCGTCTTGGCCATGCGACTTCCCCCACGCGTCGCGCAGGAACGAGGAGGCGATACGCGACTGCCACGCAGCACTGGCGTCCGACTTTTGCGCGGGCCAGACGCTGCTGCACATCGAGGAGGTTCTCGAGGAATGCGGCGACCTTCGCGGCGCGCTCGCGTGCCACGTGGCGTCCGTGCAGCGCGCGCTGGACGAGCGGCCGAGCGGCGAGATTCCCAAGGAGGAGGCTACGGAGGTGGAGCGCGTGCGACGGCAGCTGATTGGCGAGCGAGAACTGGCGATTCAGTGGAAAAAGGTTCCCGCCAAGGGCAAACCGCCGCTCGGCGCGCAGATGTCGGCGGTGGAGTGGCGCGGGCAGGTGATTCTGTTCGGCGGCACGGACCGCAGCCACAACCTGCTGCCCAACGACCTCCACATCTTCGACACGTACAAGTCCGAGTGGTTGCTCGTGCACATCCCCGGCCTGCGCCCCGCCGCGCGCGCCGGCCATCGCGCCGTGGTCCACGGCGACTGCATGTATGTCTGCGGCGGCGGCCACTCCACGGATTTCGACATGTGGCGGCTTGATTTGGTGACCATGGACTGGGAGCCCGTGCCGGCCGCGCCGGGGCTGCCGGCCGGGTCGACCGAGGACGAGTCAGAGCAGCGCTCCGACGAGCATCCCGCTAACTTGGCGGGTCGGGATTTGGCGCCTCGGGGCCAGGCGCCGCCAGGATTGGTGCAGCACAGCGTGTGCGTCGTTGACGGTCGGCTGCTCGTGTGGGGCGGCTTCGTTGTCGGCCGGCCGCCGCTCGAGCGGCACGCTAACAGGCAGCACCTGTACGAGTTCGACTTCGAGACGGGCGAATGGCGGCGCGACACGTGGCAGGGGGATTACCTTCCGAAGGCGTATCAGGACCGCGGCGTGGGCACGTGCGCGGGCGTGGCGAGTTGCAGAGAGGGCGGCAGGAGCGAGTCCGTTGAGATTATGTCGTTCTTCGGCAGTCGAAAGACGCTCGTGCCGCGATCCGGGCTCATCATGGACGAGTCGATCGCGACCGTCGATCGCCTCCTGCTGGGCGAGCGCCGATGGCAGCCCGTGCCGCTGCTCGGGCCGCGCGTCCCCGCGGCGCGGTCGGAGGCAGCGTTCCTGTCGCTGCCGGATTACGCGGCGACGCTGTGTGTTGGCGGGTACTATGAAGGTAAGGCGCTGTTCATGTGGGTTCATAACTGCCCATGTCTCAAGCGCGATTCTCCTTCTCATTCCCCGTCTGTCCTCTTCCCTCCCCCCCCACCAGGCGCGATTCACCGCGACGGGTGTCGGTACTACGGCGACGCGTGGCTGTGGCACCACGACCTGGGCATCTGGTCGCCGCTCGCCGCCAAGGGCGACGACTTCCGCGCCGGCGCGCACTTCTGGCTCGTGCAGCGCGCCGACGGCGCCGTCTTTGCTGGCGGCGGCTTCTGCGGCACGCCCATGTGAGTCAAGCGCGAGGGGATTGGGGGAGCTGGGGAGATGCGCTGAGTGTAGCGCGGGGACTTAGGGAAATGCGTCTCCCATTTTCCTTACGCTTATCCGCCCCGCATCCCCACTCTCTCCCCCACTCCCGCCGCCCCCCGCAGCACGACCATGTTCGGAACCGTCTACGAAGCCACCATCGTTGCGCCCAAAGTGCGCTGCCCGCCTCCCCCCCGCGCCCCCGCGCGCTCCCTTCCCCTCGCCCACCCCATCGCGCCCGGCTCCCCGCTCCTAGCGCTCCCCGCGCCTCCTTCCGCCGCGCCCATTCTTGCGCTCCCTTGGGGCTCTTCCCCGTCGCCTGGCCGCGGAACTTCCGTCTCCTCCTCACCCTCCCCCCCGCCGCACTCCTCCCCGCGCCCCCTTTCCGCCTGCTCCTCCTCCTCCTCCCTGCGCACGCCCGGCACGCCGCTCATGCCCATCGTGCGCTCCGCTTCCGCCGCCGCGTTCCGCCAAGGCGCGAGGGCGGGTGCGCACGGGGAAGGGGAGAAGCTGGGTGCGGCGGGGGGAATGGTCGTGATGAGCCGCTGCAACACGCTACCCGCGCAGTACTCTCCGCCGAGCGGGGGGATGGCGGGGGGAGAGGGCGGCGTGAGCGCGGGCGGAGGCTTCAGCGCGTGGGACGAGCGACAGCTGGCGCTGGGATCCGCTGACGTCAGCACGGAGCATCACGACGCGAACGTGCGGTTCAAGGCGAAAGAAGAAGCGCCGTACGAGCCGCCGCTGGGACCAGTCAACATTAAGATTCTAAAGCTCGAGTTTGAACGACGGGTGAGAGCAATGCACGCCTCTTGAAGGGGGATCTTCAATTAGTGGTCTCACGCTTCAGGTTCGCGCCGACGCCTTCTGAGGCATCGGTAAAGCCCCTTGGATCGAACTTCTGAAAATAGTCATCAGGATCTAAATATACCCGCGCATTTTCCATATCCGCGCGTTCCCCTTATTTACGAATTCTTCTTCCCCGCATTCCGTTTACCTGCGCATTCCCCTCTCCCCGCCCACTTCGCCCGTGTTTCCGCACGCCGCAGCGTGAGAACCGGCTGAAGACGAAAGCGGAGATGGCGGCGGCGGGCGCAATGGCGGCAATGCGGCGCGTGAGGGCGCAGCAAGGGGACCAGATGGGCGCAGGGGTGGCGCAGTCCCTGCTGCTGCACGTGCGAATGAGACAAATCGACCCGCCCATCTGGAGGTGAGGAAGTGGAGGAGACATGGTTTTGAGATGGCTGCTGAGTTTTAAAGATCATAGGTGTAGCTTGGTCATCCCAATTGAAAGCTGCCCTCGTATCCTCGTTGCTCACATGCCACCTCAAGCCATATTATGTCTTCCATCACATGCATGCCCTCACATGCTATCTAATCCCATCCCATGCCACCTTCTGTCATGCCATGCTGTTGCAACCACCCATCAGGCGCATGGAGGTGTCGGGGCACATGACGCTGCGCCAGTTCCACAAACATGTGCTGCGCCTCTCCATGGGCTGGGCCAGGTGCGTCTCCAGGTGCTCAGGTGTTCAGGTGCGGCCTCACGTGTTCAGGCGGGCAAAGATTGGCAAGCTTGCATGTACCTTGGAGATAATGTTATCATGGGCCACTGGAGTTTACAGCTTGAGCACCGAAACACATCAGCATCAGCATTATTCCCGTTGCTCACGACTACTCAATCCCCATTCATTCTCATTGCCCATCCCCCTTCTTCCCCAGGGACCATCACGCCTACAAGTTCCGGTCCTCCTCAGGCCCGTGTCCCGGCGTCTGGTTCGGCCCGACCCTGTCCGCCGCGCCTGACTTTGCCCTGGCGCGCATGCTGGGGCAGGGCTTGGCGGACGACAACTGTGTGCTGCTGGGGGAGGTGCTCGTCAAGGTGAGCACGAGGGGAACGAAGAAAAGGGGGGCGATTTGGCTTACATGGCACGACTGCAGTTGTCTATGGAGCTCGCATTCCCCATCTCCTGTTCCGTATCATGCCTGCACCACCCCCTGCACCACCCATTCCTGCACCACCCATTCCTGCACCATCCACACCTTGCCCCATCCCACAGGAGGGAGACCGCATGGCATATGTGTATGACCTCACGGACCGCTGGGAGCACGAGATTGTGCTGCTGCACTGCACACCCGGCCCGCCTCACCGCCCTGTCAGTGCCCTTCCCCTTCCCCATTCTCTTCCCTCTGATAAATTCCTCCCAAACGTTCGCCTGTTTTGCCAAAACGAGAGCTTCAGTTGAGATCATTCCTGCCTGTGATTTTAGCAATATTCCCCCGTTATCCCAATCATTTCCCCCTTGAAGTCCATCTATTCCGCACACTCCCATCCCCCCTATCCATGCTCTCCGCCTCACCCCACCCCCTTCCCCTCCTCTCCCCTCATTGGCATACACAGCTGAGGGCGGAGGTGGTGGATGGGTGGGGGGCATGTCCCCCAGAGGACGTGGGGGGCATGGGGGGATACCTGCGGCTGCTGGAGAGAGTGCGCAGCAGCCATGGCAGCAAGCGCGATGCCGCTTGCACCTGGGTGCTGAAAGCTGCTAATAAGAGCCACCTTGACTCGTTTGACCCCACGTGAGTGCCTATGTGTGCTTGCCTACTGCATTTTCCACTCGCTTGCCATCCTTCTCATGAATCACCCACTCTCATTTTACAACCATCCAGCACCACCCATCTCCCCTTCTCACTCCGCCCATCTACCTCCCCCCTCTCCCGCTGTGTTCCGCCCTGCAGCAATTTCCCCCTCAACGCCTGCAGAGCAGCGTTGGAGAAGCATCTAGCATCAGCGGCGCTCACCCCGCCATCCAACCATCTCGACCCTGTCCCCACCGCCACCCACCCCGCCCCCGCCCTCGCCTCCCCCTCCCCCCTCGCCCCCCTCCAACGCTCCAAGTCCTTCTCCCTCACCCGCCCCTCCTCCACCAGCCCCCACCACTCGCACACGCCACATCAGCTGCCACATCAGCAGCATCGCCACCATCAGACCGCCAGGTCACCGCACCGTGGCCACGGCAGCCCCCACCGCAGCCCTCGGCCAATCACAAGCAGCTCGAGCTTCGGCAGCAGCGTCAGCAGCAGTAGCAGGGGGGGATCGAGGGGTGGAGGAGCAGGGGGGACGCGGGGAGTAACACCAGGGCCGATACTAGCGCAATCGGTGCCTCCCCTGAATCTACCTCCCCCTGATTTCGCGGGGCGCAAGGCGTGTCAGGCGTGTGGGTCGAGCAAGGCGGAGGTGGCGTGTGAGAGGTGCCACCGGGCCTTCTACTGCTGTGTGGAGCACCAGCACATGGACTGGAAGCTCGGTCACAGGCTTGTGTGCGTCGCTGTGGAAGAGGTGCGGTGACGTGCCGAGCGGTTCGGGTGAGGTGACTTTGGCTTGGAAGGCATCTGAACGTGATGTGGCAGACGGGGTTTATTCTATTGGTGCTTTACTTGGTGTTGTTGGCTCTAAGCAACACAAGAGAAGAATGTTGGTGGTAGATTTCAATGTTGGATAGAGGCAAATGCTTAGTATCAAAAGGATATTTGGGGTATGGCTACAAACACAGAGGCAAGGCGAACTGTCTGGATGCAGCAAGTCTATGTACTGGTACTCCAATAATGTCAATGTTGGTATTATTATACCAACATCATAATATTTGCTGGTGCACCTTTCTTGGTGCGTAGGTCTTTGCTGGTACATCTTTGTTTGCCAGTGCTATTACGCGCTATAGAGGGCAGCCCTTATCCCGCTTACACTCGTGAGCCAGATTCTAGGTTTTCCGAGGAGGCTGGTGGCGAGGCGAAGCTAGAGGGGGGAGGGGGGAGAGGAAGAACCCTTAGGGCGATGTCAGGCTGTACGGTTCTAAGGGCGCGTAACTTTTTCACTTTTCATCGTCCGGACGGAGGACCCGTACGGACTTTTGTAGGGTTACGGAGTTCGCCTTATTTCGTTATTGAGTTCGTGAGACCCCTTGCGACATCGCGATCGTCCGTACGAGTTCTGACACTTTTCTGCTTGTTCATCGTCCGTTCTACACTCCTGACGTCGTCCGGACAGCATTTCGGACCGTCCGGAACTCCTGCAACGTCTTTGGTGCGCGAAGCACATTTTTTATCAGTTCTGGCGACTCGGTTTCCTGCTCGCCAGAACCACGTTCTGACGGAAAGGCAACACAGAAGTTCCACTATCGTCCGAACGGGCACACAGACTCACAGCACTACAAAAAAGCGAACTCTCTACAGTCCGGCTTTTTTCTGACACAACTTCATGCATGCGAAGCGGCCGATTTGCTGAAGAGGTGGGTTATAAGCGTTACTGTTTCGCTCAAAATGCAGTTTTCGCAAGAGCAAAAAAGTGTCATAATAGGGGTACGGACTCATCGTCGTCCGTACCACATCCCCAACCGTCCGGACGGAGCTCCGTTCGGACGATTTGGGGCCCCCGTCCGGACATTTGCCCGAAACGGAAAAAGTTACGCGCCCTAACACAACGACAGTTCTTGTATCGTGGTTCAAGACGGCTCCACGCGGTGACAAACGGTTTCCACAAATTACCGCTTTGCACCGTGACGAGCCGCAGAGAGCGTCCAAAAACAAGTACAACCTGACGTCGCCCTAAATACCGACGCAACTGACGGGCCCAAGGGATTTTGCAATTGCGAAACTCGCACACGCAGCTTCCAGCGCGACACGGCGAAGGCTAGTGTGATTCTTGAACCTGCTAGGTTCTCAGCTGCAGCCTTCACGCCGTTCAAGCTTGGGTGTCGAGTCGATCCTTTTACGCGGTTCGGGGATAGTAACACGTCCCTCGCCAGCGCCGCGTAGATCGCGAACGTCATCGTTGTCGCAAGGGCGTCGTTAAAGTCGAAAGCTTCGTTCTAGCATAAGCCGCGATCGTCGTACGCGTCGTGATGACGACGGCAGCGCGGCCGACATGGGCGCCGGCCAAAGGAGGCGAGGAGCAGGGCGGCTCGCGCATGTTCGGGCCGAGCCAAAAGTACTCCGCTAGAGACGTCGCCAGCCACACGAGCCTCAAACCCAGGTGCGGGTCTTAGAGACGTCTCTAAATCAAGCAAACTTAACTCCGGTTGAGACACTCACGAGTCGCTAACCCAGGTGCGGGGATAGCTGATTTTTTATTGCGGATTTAGGTATCCAGGAAAAGATATCGTCAGTCCAGCTCGTTCCGTGTTCGGCAATGATCCTTTTTTGTCCAAACATGGCGTGTGTCTCTCCATGCGACGTGTCCGCGTGCTCACGTGTGCGCGAGCAGGAAGGAGGGGCAGGTGACGAAGGAGGAGGTGAAGCGGCGGGATTTACGGGGAGAGCTAGAGGAGCGCGAGAGGCGGCACTTCGCCGCCAAGGAGAAAGAGCACCAGCTGTGCACCGACGACCGCAAACGAACCGCCGGCTTGCTGTTACCAGGTAACGGCGGCGAGCCTGTGCGGTTTGGTGGCCGGCGGTCCTTGCGTGTGCGTTACGCATGCTTGCGTTTCGTGGTGCGTGGTTGCTGACTGGGCTGGGCGCATGTGTGCCTGTTGTTTGCATGCGTGTGTGGTGCGTGGCGTGCGTGCATGCTTGGGTGCATGGGCGCTTGGCATGCGTGCTTGGGTGCAGGCAGTGGGGCGTTGGGAGGGCGGAAGGAGGTGGAGGAGCGGTTGATACCCCGAGCAGCAGACGCGGATGACTCCGATGGGGAGGACAGAAAGGGCGGGGGGGGTGATGACGAGGATGAGAGCGATGATGACGAGGACGATGACGAGGATGACACCATGGAGCTGCTTGCTGAGCTGGAGCGAATCAAGAAGGAGCGAGCCGAGGAGAAGCTGCGCAAGGTATGTGCCCGGCCGCCTATGCGGTCATGTATGCTGCACATGCCATTACATGCTGTGCATCCCTTTCAGAATATGCAAAGGTTGCACTTGAGTGCATACTCATGGGCTTCTTGCCCTCGGATTGAATACGTTGAATGTCCTGTCCTCTTCATCTCTGTTTCGCCTCTCCTCCCTGCTGCACCGCCCTCTGCGCCCATCTGGTGCATGGGAGCAGGAGAAGGAGCAGGCGGAGCAGGAGGCGAAGGCGCGGGAAAGAGAGATGGCGCGTGGCAACCCCATCATGGCTGCTGGTGGCTCTGCCTTTGCTGTCAAGCGCAGGTGAGGATGGGCCAGGGGTGTGTGGACGAAGGGGTTGTGTGCGAGGAGGGTGTGAGAGAGGGCAGCATGGCAGCACAGCGCTACAAGGTCCTCCCATGCATGCATCCATATGTGCAACCAATGCCATCCCCTGCCTGACACCCCATGACTCGTTTCTCACTGCCCTTGCTTGCCACACACTGCCCTGCAATGCATCCTTGTCCGCGGTCATCCCTTGCTTCCTTGTCCACTGCCCTTTACCAGGTGGTATGACGACGTTGTGTTCCGCAACCAGGCCAAGGACGAGCAGAAGCCCACCAAGCGATCCATGGCCAATGCCATTCCCTGCCTCCCTGTCACTCATCATCTCTCACTGCCCTTGCCATGCAGGTGGGACGACGATGTGGTGTTCCGCAACCAGGCCAAGGACGAGCAGAAGCCCACCAAGCGGTTCATCAACGACACCATTCGCAGCGACTTCCACCGCCGCTTCCTCAACAAATACATGAAATAGTGGCCCAGAGCAGAATGCAGTGGTGCCTCTTGTTTTGCAAGGGGAAGTTCAGAAATCTTATGACCCATTCACCTTGTACATGTGCTCAGTATGTGCAATATAAGCCCTTGATTTTGATTGGTTCTGCCGGGAATATCACACTACAACTTGGAGCAATATGAGCATACTAGTAAAAAACAATGTATTTTCAACTACAGAACGGTACTACAAGAGCCAAGGCATAAAGACCTCTTTATGCCCAATCTACCAACATTCACTACACACTACTGTCTGCTACCTGCCCTACACACAAATACCGTATAAAGAATAGCCTATACCGTGTGTTGTTACTAGTGTCTCACCCGAACTAGACAACACAGCCTCCAGGTGAGGCGCATGCAACAGAATAACTGCAGCTGCTACAGTCGCAGCAGCTGCATGCATGTGTGTGGCAGGATGCCATGTGAACAGCAATCGTATCACCACCTGATGTGGTGTCACTCTTGCTCCATTGGCTGCCTGCTCTGCTGCTGCACTGGAAACCCTGCAACTCCTTCAACCCCAGCGGCCTTCAAAGCAGCCACGCCACAGCAGCGCGTGCCGACCTCCGCCCCACATACACACCCTAAAGCAGCCTCAGAGGCACACCCCTAACAGCAGCACCCGAATGTGCAAATTCGCAAGTCCTCAAATCCTCTGTCCCCCTCTACGTGGATCCAGCGCCCCCCGCGGCCTTCTCTGCGGCCTCCTTGGCCTTGGAGTCGCGCTGCTGCTGCGCCACCTGCGCCACTGTGTGCGCCATGGCTTGATGGGCGAAGTCCAAAGAGCCCATCAGACTGCTGAACCGCTCTGGGTCCGACGCTTGCACCCCTGGTCATGGTAGGAGTGGGGAGGGGTGGGGAAAGAGGGGCAGGAGGGGTAAAGGAGCGGGTATGGATGGGGGGAAGAAGGGGAGGAGAGAAGGAGGGTTAGGTGCGAAGGAGAAGCCAGGAGCACCATGAGTCAGGAGATCTGATTGCTGTTGTGGCACCAGCACAGAAAATTAACGGGCCAGTTGTGTGGATGGGGAGAAGCTTCAGGCATTACAAAACACTGTGGCAATCCCACTGGCCATAGCATGCTGAGAACACGCAGCATCACCGAGGGAGGCACTCCATGCCCTCTGTCTCACCAGCCATGATGTCGGAGAAGTGGATGAAGGGGTCGACGTCATCGATGGGTGTGAGCATCTCATCCCCACAGCATCTTACTGGCCATGCTGTCAGCATGAGCCACGGAGGCACCGAATGCCCTCTCACTGGCCATGCTGGCATGCTGTGAGCATGAGGCATCACAAACAGAGGCAGTGCATGCCCTCTGTCTCACCGGCCATGATGTCGGAGAAGTGGATGAAGGGGTCGACATCATCGATGGGCGTGAGCATCTCATCCTCGTCCGACCAGAAGCCCTCATCGTCCTCGTCCTCCTCATCATCCCCATCCAACATCTTGTGCGCCTGCCATGCCACCACATGACACCATGCCATGTCAAGAAAACGAGCAGAGGACATAAAGATAAATAGCACACCATGAGAGAAGCAACGCATATGGGGGTAACAAGCAAGGGCATGTGCAGCAAGGCGAGGCGAGAAGCACTGCTCATGTGAGGGAGGAAGGTGCAGCATGAGAGGAAGCAGCAGGGCCCTCTGACTCACCTTCTTGATGGCCTTTTTCAGCTCTGACGACTCCTCCTCTTCCTCCTCCTCTTCCTCCTCCTCCTCATCCTCCTCCCCCCCATCACCCATGCCATCCTCGCCCTCCTCGTCATCATCCTCGTCTTCTGATTCCAACTCTGCCGCTGCTCACGCATGCACGCACGGCGAGGGAGGGAGTGGCACGTACACATGGGTGGGGGAGGAAGGACTGATCTGGACAGCTTCAAAGTGCAGATTCTGTTTTGTCCCTCGCTCACTCTCCTGCCTGCTGCTCTTGGTAAGACGTCGGCATCGGCCTCTCCGCCTTGCAGCTTCGCGCACGGAACCTACCATCGTGACTGACTGGTGATTGAGTGAGAGAAAGCAATGTGACATTCCTTGCTCTTATCCTTTCTCCAGTCACTCACTCGAAGTGTCCGGAAAGTTTCTCACCCTCCTGCTGCTACTTGTACGCCACGAGCAGCTGCAGCACTGCCTTGCAGCTTCACGCAGAGAAAATTCCTTGCTCTTACTCGCCTTTTAATCAATCACCCTCCCTCCGCCCCATCCAGTCCACTCACCCTCCTGCTGCTACTTGTACGCCACCAGCAGCTGCAGCACGGCCTTGGCGAATTCTACCACTGCTTGCTGCTCTCACGCACCCTCCTTTTTTTACACTTCCCTCCTACTCTCACTCTCCCTCCCCCTCTCACTCACCCTCCTGCTGCTCCTTGAACGCCACCAGCAGCTGCAGCACGGCCTTGGCGAATTCGCCCTGCAGAGGTGCCACCGATGCTGGCAGCGCAGCCGTGGGCAGGGAGAGCAGCGACACCAGCCCCAGGATGCACACCTTCTTGTCGTGCTGCCTGTGGGGTGTGGGGGGGGGAGAGAGGGGGAAGAGGGCCTGGTGTGTGGGTGATGGGGGAAGGAGAGACGCTAAGGAGAGTTCGGAGCTCCCAGAGCAGGCCAGCAGGGAGAGCAGCGACACCAGCCCCAAAATGCACACCTTCTTGCCGTGCTGCCTGTGGGTGGGACGATGGGTGTGGGGGGGATGGTGCGTGGGTGAAAGGGTAGGGGAGATGCCGAGGAAATCCGCAAATCCTCGCAGAATTCACAGTTGAATGCAAGACTTGACGCACAACTCACCTCTTGAAGTGGAGGCGCTTGCTGGTGGTCTGGCTCTTGGCCTGCAGCATGGTCAGCCACGTCTGGAACACCCCTGCCGTCGCCCCCATGCCCTCCAGTGCTTGCAGCGTCAGCTGCGCGTTGTAGTACAGGCCATTCGCCACCACCTGTGGGGGGAGAGCAATAGTGAGAACAATAGGATTGGATGATAGTGGAAAAGATTTTAGGAATTTATACCGTCGTATGAAATGACTATCGCCTGTGGAAGTACCACTGGCGGAAACACGAGCAGCAGCAGCAGCAGCAGCAGCAGCAGCGGCGGCGGCAGTAGCACTAACGGACCTGCATGAGGAGGTCTTTGAGGTGGCGCAGAGAGGCCTTGTTGAGGCGCGTGAGGGCGAGCTGCAGGTACAGCGGCAGCCATGCGTCCACGCGCCCCCGGCAGTTCAACAGCACCACCTCCATCAGCTTCGGTGCTGGCACCAAGTCACGATCGCTGATGTCATCGTCGCTCAACAACTGAAAGGCATAAGGGAGAGGGTGAGAGCGTGGTGAGTGGAGGGCATGAGAATGGTTGTGTGTGCGTCATGCGGGCAGTTGAGCAGCACCACCTCCATGAGCTTCGACTCCAGCACCGCGTGACGGTCCTTCATTTCCTTGCTCAACAGCTGCGGTTGAGATGGTGAGGTGGAGCGAATGGGTGATGGAATGGGAGTGGGTGGCGCGGTGGTGGGAGAGGGTGATGAAGTGGGTTGGTGGGAGTGGAGGGAAAGGAAAGGGGTGTGTGCGAGGACAGTAGAGCAGCACGGTACCTTGGCGGCGGCCACCCCACCTTGGAAAGCCATGTACCTTGGAAAGCAGCTTCCAGAGCGAGTCAGGGTAGTTGGGGTCGGGGCATGTGAGGAAATGCTCTGTGCCGCGCGATATGAAGTTGTCAAGAGGGTCCAGGGCGTCTGAGAGGAAGGGCACACGGGGATTAGCACAACAGGAAGGGGGGCGGAGGTGAGGAGCAATGGTGAACGCACCCTCCGGAGCATACGCGGGGTGAAGGGCTAGGTACGAGGCAGGAAAAGGGATAAGGGGTGGGATCAGCCGAGACCAAGGAGCAGGGCGCGTAGGTACAAAGAATGACGATGGCAAACTAGAGGGAGGAGAGGTTGAGGGTGGGAGATAGGGTGAGGGGGTAGGTACGACGCAGGAAAAAGGACGGAAGCTGGGAGCCGAAAGCAGGACAAGAACAGAGCGCAGGGAGCATGGAGCAGGGAGCAGCTAGCAGGGAGCAGGGGGCGTACATTCAAAGAAGTCGATGGCAAACTCGTTGAGGGAGGTGAGGATGAGCGGCCAGATGGACCAGAGGGCGGGCGAGATGGTGGGGCTGTAATACGTCATGTATGTTGCTATCTCCAACACCTCCTCGTACAGGTCTGCGCCATGCCATGCCACGCCATGCCATGCCATGCCATGCCATGCCATGCCATGCCATGCCATGCCATGCCATGCCATGCGATGCGATGGATAAGAGAGTTAGACAATGAGACGGTGCCCCACTGCTGTCACCACACCCTCCACAGCCAGCATCGAGCCATCTCACCAACGCACTCCGCGCCTGCGCTGTGCTAAGGTGCCCCAGCGACTCACATGCCCCTGTGCATGCACAGGAACCCCCTTCACAGCCGCGCCCCCAACCCAGCCCATGCTGGCCAGCACACGTCAGATCAGATCAGATTAGATCAGATGAGCCCACCTCGGCCGTCAGCTAAAGATGCCCATCCCAGCTGTGCCCCACACCCTCACCTTGGCCGTCAGATGTGAGCATCTTGTGCAGGATGGGCAGCAGCGTGGGCTCAAGCTGTGGGAAGAGGTGCGGCAGCGAGGAGATTGACTCCAGCACCGTGCCCATGGCCCTCAGGCACCCCGCTGCTGCCAGCGCACTCATGTCATCCACCGCCTCCTCGCTCTCTCCTCCGTCTGCTGCCTCTGACGACCGCACACACTTCCAGAAGGCCGCTGCCTGCAGTAGTGGAATGGTGGAGAGGTGAAAGAAGGGGATGGGGAGATGCAATACAGGCATGGCCATGGCCGTGCATCATGCATGCGCGATGGTTAGCTGCTCTCTGAGAGAGATGTAGTAATGGAAATGTGCCGACAGCCAGGCCAGGCACGGGCGGACAGGCATGGCAGAGAGGCAGGGTGGGCAGGGCAGGAAGGGGTGACGTACGAGGTTGTGGATGAGGCCGACGGCGAAGGGCGACATCTCCTCGCCAAACTTCTCCACGATCACCTCCAATGTGAACACCAGGTCCTCGTTCTCCACCTCGTGCATCAGCTTGAAGAAGTCTGCAAAGGAAGGAGGGTGGTGGTGGGCGGTAGAGGGCCATGGTAAGCGGTGAAGAGAGCTGACAGCGGTGTGGCAAGGGGGGGTAGCAAAAGGAGGTAGCACTCTGACATCCTAGATAAGCGAAATGAGGCAAAACAGAAGAGCAAGAACTGGCAGCATGGCAGGGCGAGGGCATACCGTCAAGCAGGTTGGGAATGATGGGGCGCAGCTGGTCCAGATCTGCACACAGAGGGAGGTCCGTGGGGGAGGGGCGATGGTGAGGTGTTATGCAGGAGTCATGATGCATGCACGGTGGGACAGCAGCTGCATCAGCGTATTGGAAATGAAACGATTGAAAGCGAGTGATGAATCATGCTCCATCCTTCCCCGTTCCTGCTTCAACAGACATCCTTCACCTCATCACCATCACACAGAAACCCTTCATCCTCTCACACATTCACATATGTGCTTCACCTTCACGCGCCCTTCTCACTCATATCACACGCGTCCACAAACGAGCGCAGCTCCACAACAGCGTCCACGCGCACGGGCAGCTCAGGATCGCGCAAAAACCTCCTCTCAAGCGCCCCACACATTCACACGCGTGCTTCACCTCCTCACCTTAGCATGCATCAACAAACGAGCGCAGAGCGACAACAGCGTCGACGCGCACGGGCAGCTCAGGGTCGCGCAGCAGCCCCACCACCGCGTGCATGTAGTGCCATCCTCAGTGCCCCACACCTTCACACGCATGCTTCACCTCCTCACCTTTGCATGCGTCTTCTCATTCTCACCATCACAGGCATCAACGAAGGAGCGCAGGGCCACCACAGCGTCGACGCGCACGGGCAGCTCGGGGTCCGCAGCAGCCCCACCACCGCCTGCAGCGCTCCCCCGAAGTGAGCCGGGTTGCTGAATGGGATGTCCGCATACTGCCCCGCCACCCACGCCGCCTGATGGGATGGATGGATGGGGAGGACGGGGAGGGGTTTTGAGTGGACTCAAAACTTGTCTCCTTTCATGCCGAAGTGAGCCGGGTTGCTGAATGGGATGTCCGCGTACTGCCCCGCCACCCACGCCGCCTGCGGAGCAGGACCCATGGGGAGGATGGGGAGGACGGGGAGGACGGGGAGGACGGGGAGGACGGGGAGGACGGGGAGGACGGGGAGGATGGGGAGGATGGTGATGATGGGGAGAATGGGGAGGGAACTTTTGAGTTGACTCACAAGTGGGTTGCTGCCCCACCAGCCCGCCACCCACGCCACCTAACTCGGGGAAAACAAACTAATTGACTGAAAGTTCACCTTGGCGCGCAGGAAGGCGAAGGGGCTGGTGAATTCGGGGAAGACGTGCGTGAGCAGCATGTGCTCGAGCTGTGCCTTGTAGCGCGCCGTGCCCTGCAGCTTCTCATGCAGCGCTCCGATCGCCAGCAGCGCCCCGTCCTTCTGCCTCGCCTGTGCCGCCTTCTGATCCGGTGCCGCCTCGTTGTACCTGGTGCATGGACCGCATGGGGGGCATGGGATGCTGATCAGGATGCTGGTTGAAGGCATTGACCGTTCAGCCTTGAACAAAAGCAAGGCTGTTCTTCTTGCTCTCAGCTTTCAGCGTGCTGGAGCACGAGGCATTCCCCGCACATGAGCTCCCTCGTGCGCACATGAGGGAGGAACTGAGGGAGGAACTGAGGGAGGAACTGAGGGAGGGACTGAGGGAGGAACTGAGGGAGGGACTGAGGGAGGAACTGAGGGAGGGACTGAGGGAGGAACTGAGGGAGGGACTGAGGGAGGAACTGAGGGAGGAACTGAGGGAGGAAGGAACTGAGGGAGGAACTGAGGGAGGAACTGAGGGAGGAACTGAGGGAGGAACTGAGGGAGGAACTGAGGGAGGAACTGAGGGAGGGACTGAGGGAGGAACTGAGGGAGGAACTGAGGGAGGGACTGAGGGAGGAACTGAGGGAGGGACTGAGGGAGGAACTGAGGGAGGAACTGAGGGAGGAACTGAGGGAGGGACTGAGGGAGGAACTGAGGGAGGAACTGAGGGAGGAACTGAGGGAGGAACTGAGGGAGGAACTGAGGGAGGAACTGAGGGAGGAACTGAGGGAGGAACTGAGGGAGGAACTGAGGGAGGGACTGAGGGAGGGACTGAGGGAGGAACTGAGGGAGGAACTGAGGGAGGAACTGAGGGAGGAACTGAGGGAGGAACTGAGGGAGGGACTGAGGGAGGAACTGAGGGAGGGACTGAGGGAGGAACTGAGGGAGGAACTGAGGGAGGAACTGAGGGAGGAACTGAGGGAGGAACTGAGGGAGGGACTGAGGGAGGAACTGAGGGAGGAACTGAGGGAGGAACTGAGGGAGGAACTGAGGGAGGAACTGAGGGAGGAACTGAGGGAGGAACTGAGGGAGGAACTGAGGGAGGAACTGAGGGAGGAACTGAGGGAGGAACTGAGGGAGGGACTGAGGGAGGAACTGAGGGAGGGACTGAGGGAGGAACTGAGGGAGGAACTGAGGGAGGAAGTGAGGGTGGAAATGAGGGAGGAACTGAGGGAGGAACTGAGGGAGGAACTGAGGGAGGAACTGAGGGAGGAACTGAGGGAGGAACTGAGGGAGGAACTGAGGGAGGAACTGAGGGAGGGACTGAGGGAGGAACTGAGGGAGGAACTGAGGGAGGAACTGAGGGAGGAACTGAGGGAGGAACTGAGGGAGGAACTGAGGGAGGGACTGAGGGAGGAACTGAGGGAGGAAGGAACTGAGGGAGGAACTGAGGGAGGAACTGAGGGAGGGACTGAGGGAGGAACTGAGGGAGGAACTGAGGGAGGAACTGAGGGAGGAACTGAGGGAGAGACTGAGGAAGAGACTGAGGGAGGAACTGAGGGAGGAACTGAGGGAGGAACTGAGGGAGGGACTGAGGGAGGAACTGAGGGAGGAACTGAGGGAGGAACTGAGGGAGGAACTGAGGGAGGAACTGAGGGAGGAACTGAGGGAGGGACTGAGGGAGGAACTGAGGGAGGAACTGAGGGAGGAACTGAGGGAGGGACTGAGGGAGGAACTGAGGGAGGAAGGAACTGAGGGAGGAACTGAGGGAGGAACTGAGGGAGGAACTGAGGGAGGAACTGAGGGAGGAACTGAGGGAGGGACTGAGGGAGGAACTGAGGGAGGAACTGAGGGAGGAACTGAGGGAGGGACTGAGGGAGGAACTGAGGGAGGAACTGAGGGAGGAACTGAGGGAGGAAGGAACTGAGGGAGGAACTGAGGGAGGGACTGAGGGAGGAACTGAGGGAGGGACTGAGGGAGGAACTGAGGGAGGAACTGAGGGAGGAAGTGAGGGTGGAAATGAGGGAGGAACTGAGGGAGGAACTGAGGGAGGAACTGAGGGAGGAACTGAGGGAGGAACTGAGGGAGGAACTGAGGGAGGAACTGAGGGAGGAACTGAGGGAGGGACTGAGGGAGGAACTGAGGGAGGAACTGAGGGAGGAACTGAGGGAGGAACTGAGGGAGGAACTGAGGGAGGAACTGAGGGAGGGACTGAGGGAGGAACTGAGGGAGGAAGGAACTGAGGGAGGAACTGAGGGAGGAACTGAGGGAGGGACTGAGGGAGGAACTGAGGGAGGAACTGAGGGAGGAACTGAGGGAGGAACTGAGGGAGAGACTGAGGAAGAGACTGAGGGAGGAACTGAGGGAGGAACTGAGGGAGGAACTGAGGGAGGGACTGAGGGAGGAACTGAGGGAGGAACTGAGGGAGGAACTGAGGGAGGAACTGAGGGAGGAACTGAGGGAGGAACTGAGGGAGGGACTGAGGGAGGAACTGAGGGAGGAACTGAGGGAGGAACTGAGGGAGGGACTGAGGGAGGAACTGAGGGAGGAAGGAACTGAGGGAGGAACTGAGGGAGGAACTGAGGGAGGAACTGAGGGAGGAACTGAGGGAGGAACTGAGGGAGGGACTGAGGGAGGAACTGAGGGAGGAACTGAGGGAGGAACTGAGGGAGGGACTGAGGGAGGAACTGAGGGAGGAACTGAGGGAGGAACTGAGGGAGGAAGGAACTGAGGGAGGAACTGAGGGAGGGACTGAGGGAGGAACTGAGGGAGGGACTGAGGGAGGAACTGAGGGAGGAACTGAGGGAGGAAGTGAGGGTGGAAATGAGGGAGGAACTGAGGGAGGAACTGAGGGAGGAACTGAGGGAGGAACTGAGGGAGGAACTGAGGGAGGAACTGAGGGAGGAACTGAGGGAGGAACTGAGGGAGGGACTGAGGGAGGAACTGAGGGAGGAACTGAGGGAGGAACTGAGGGAGGAACTGAGGGAGGAACTGAGGGAGGAACTGAGGGAGGGACTGAGGGAGGAACTGAGGGAGGAAGGAACTGAGGGAGGAACTGAGGGAGGAACTGAGGGAGGGACTGAGGGAGGAACTGAGGGAGGAACTGAGGGAGGAACTGAGGGAGGAACTGAGGGAGAGACTGAGGAAGAGACTGAGGGAGGAACTGAGGGAGGAACTGAGGGAGGAACTGAGGGAGGGACTGAGGGAGGAACTGAGGGAGGAACTGAGGGAGGAACTGAGGGAGGAACTGAGGGAGGAACTGAGGGAGGGACTGAGGGAGGGACTGAGGGAGGAACTGAGGGAGGAACTGAGGGAGGAACTGAGGGAGGAACTGAGGGAGGGACTGAGGGAGGGACTGAGGGAGGAACTGAGGGAGGAACTGAGGGAGGAACTGAGGGAGGAACTGAGGGAGGAACTGAGGGAGGAACTGAGGGAGGGACTGAGGGAGGAACTGAGGGAGGAACTGAGGGAGGAACTGAGGGAGGAAGGAACTGAGGGAGGAACTGAGGGAGGAACTGAGGGAGGAACTGAGGGAGGGACTGAGGGAGGAACTGAGGGAGGAACTGAGGGAGGGACTGAGGGAGGAACTGAGGGAGGGACTGAGGGAGGAACTGAGGGAGGAACTGAGGGAGGAACTGAGGGAGGAACTGAGGGAGGAACTGAGGGAGGAACTGAGGGAGGGACTGAGGGAGGAACTGAGGGAGGGACTGAGGGAGGAACTGAGGGAGGAACTGAGGGAGGAACTGAGGGAGGAACTGAGGGAGGAACTGAGGGAGGAACTGAGGGAGGAACTGAGGGAGGAACTGAGGGAGGAACTGAGGGAGGAACTGAGGGAGGGACTGAGGGAGGAACTGAGGGAGGAACTGAGGGAGGGACTGAGGGAGGAACTGAGGGAGGGACTGAGGGAGGAACTGAGGGAGGAACTGAGGGAGGAACTGAGGGAGGGACTGAGGGAGGAACTGAGGGAGGAACTGAGGGAGGAACTGAGGGAGGAACTGAGGGAGGAACTGAGGGAGGAACTGAGGGAGGAACTGAGGGAGGAACTGAGGGAGGAACTGAGGGAGGGACTGAGGGAGGGACTGAGGGAGGAACTGAGGGAGGAACTGAGGGAGGAACTGAGGGAGGAACTGAGGGAGGAACTGAGGGAGGGACTGAGGGAGGAACTGAGGGAGGGACTGAGGGAGGAACTGAGGGAGGAACTGAGGGAGGAACTGAGGGAGGAACTGAGGGAGGAACTGAGGGAGGGACTGAGGGAGGAACTGAGGGAGGAACTGAGGGAGGAACGAGGGAGGAACCGAGGGAGGAACCGAGGGAGGAACCGAGGGACTGAGGGAGGAACTGAGGGAGGAACTGAGGGAGGAAGGAACTGAGGGAGGAACTGAGGGAGGAACTGAGGGAGGGACTGAGGGAGGAACTGAGGGAGGGACTGAGGGAGGAACTGAGGGAGGAACTGAGGGAGGAAGTGAGGGTGGAAATGAGGGAGGAACTGAGGGAGGAACTGAGGGAGGAACTGAGGGAGGAACTGAGGGAGGAACTGAGGGAGGAACTGAGGGAGGGACTGAGGGAGGAACTGAGGGAGGAACTGAGGGAGGAACTGAGGGAGGAACTGAGGGAGGAACTGAGGGAGGAACTGAGGGAGGGACTGAGGGAGGAACTGAGGGAGGAAGGAACTGAGGGAGGAACTGAGGGAGGAACTGAGGGAGGGACTGAGGGAGGAACTGAGGGAGGAACTGAGGGAGGAACTGAGGGAGGAACTGAGGGAGAGACTGAGGAAGAGACTGAGGGAGGAACTGAGGGAGGAACTGAGGGAGGAACTGAGGGAGGGACTGAGGGAGGAACTGAGGGAGGAACTGAGGGAGGAACTGAGGGAGGAACTGAGGGAGGAACTGAGGGAGGAACTGAGGGAGGGACTGAGGGAGGAACTGAGGGAGGAACTGAGGGAGGAACTGAGGGAGGGACTGAGGGAGGAACTGAGGGAGGAAGGAACTGAGGGAGGAACTGAGGGAGGAACTGAGGGAGGGACTGAGGGAGGAACTGAGGGAGGAACTGAAAGAGGAACTGAGGGAGGAACTGAGGGAGGGACTGAGGGAGGGACTGAGGGAGGAACTGAGGGAGGAACTGAGGGAGGAACTGAGGGAGGGACTGAGGGAGGAACTGAGGGAGGAACTGAGGGAGGAACTGAGGGAGGAACTGAGGGAGGAACTGAGGGAGGAACTGAGGGAGGGACTGAGGGAGGAACTGAGGGAGGAACTGAGGGAGGAACTGAGGGAGGAACTGAGGGAGGAACTGAGGGAGGGACTGAGGGAGGAACTGAGGGAGGAACTGAGAGAGAGACTGAGGGAGGAACTGAGGGAGGAACTGAGGGAGGAACTGAGGGAGGAACTGAGGGAGGAACTGAGGGAGGAACTGAGGGAGGAACTGAGGGAGGGACTGAGGGAGGGACTGAGGGAGGGACTGAGGGAGGAACTGAGGGAGGAACTGAGGGAGGAACTGAGGGAGGAACTGAGGGAGGAACTGAGGGAGGAAGGAACTGAGGGAGGAACTGAGGGAGGAACTGAGGGAGGAACTGAGGGAGGAACTGAGGGAGGGATTGAGGGCGGAAGGAACTGAGGGAGGAACTGAGGGAGGAACTGAGGGAGGAACTGAGGGAGGAACTGAGGGAAGAGGTACTGACCGGTTGAGGATGAGAACGAGAGCAGCAATTAAGGAGTTGAGTGTGTCCTTGCTCCTCTTGGTCACCAGCTGAATGCACGAGGCACTTACCAGTTCATGAATGGACTGGTACTCACCGGTTGAGGATGAGGACGAGAGCAGCGATGATGGGGTCGAGTGTCTCCTTGCTGCGCTTCGTCACCAGCTCCGCCAGGAAGTTGAGTGCTGCTGTGCGCGCACTGTACATGTCCTCTATGATGTCTGTTGAGGGGGGGGTGGGAGAGAGAAAGGGAGAGGGTAAGGGAGGGGAAAGGGAAGGGAGGGAAGAGATAGAGGGGAAGTTGAGTGCTTCCGTACATGATGTGCGGGCACTGTACATGTCCTCTATGATGTCTGCTTGGGGGGGAGAGGACACCCTCACTCTTCCATACACCTAGCCCCCTTCACTCTCCCATACACCTAGCCCCCTTCACTCTCCCATTCACCTAGTCCCCTTCACTCTCCCATACACCTAGTCCCCTTCACTCTCCTATACACCTAGCCCCCTTCACTCTCCCATACACCATAGCCCCCCTCACTCTCCCATACACCATAGCCCCCCTCACTCTCCCGTACACCATAGCCCCCCTCACGCTCCCGTACACCATAGCCTCCCTCACTCTCCCGTACACCATAGCCCCCTCACTCTCCCATACACCATAGCCCCCCTCACTCTCCCGTACACCATAGCCCCCCTCACTCTCCCGTACACCATAGCCCCCCTCACTCTCCCATACACCATAGCCCCCCTCACTCTCCCGTACACCATAGCCCCCCTCACTCTCCCATACACCATAGCCCCCCTCACTCTCCCATACACCATAGCCCCCCTCACTCTCCCGTACACCATAGCCCCCCTCACTCTCCCATACACCATAGCCCCCCTCACTCTCCCATACACCATAGCCCCCCTCACTCTCCCATGCACCATAGCCCCCCTCACTCTCCCATACACCATAGCCCCCCTCACTCTCCCGTACACCATAGCCCCCCTCACTCTCCCATACACCATAGCCCCCCTCACTCTCCCATGCACCATAGCCCCCCTCACTCTCCCGTACACCATAGCCCCCCTCACTCTCCCGTACACCATAGACTCCCTCACTCTCCCATGCACCATAGCCCCCCTCACTCTCCCATGCACCATAGCCCCCCTCACTCTCCCATACACCATAGCCCCCCTCACTCTCCCATACACCATAGCCCCCCTCACTCTCCCATACACCATAGCCCCCCTCACTCTCCCATACACCATAGCCCCCCTCACTCTCCCATACACCATAGCCCCCCTCACTCTCCCGTACACCATAGCCCCCCTCACTCTCCCGTACACCATAGCCTCCCTCACTCTCCCGTACACCATAGCCCCCCTCACTCTCCCGTACACCATAGCCCCCTTCACTCTCCCATACACCATAGCCCCCCTCACTCTCCCGTACACCATAGCCCCCCTCACTCTCCCGTACACCATAGCCCCCCTCACGCTCCCGTACACCATAGCCTCCCTCACTCTCCCGTACACCATAGCCTCCCTCACTCTCCCATACACCATAGCCCCCCTCACTCTCCCGTACACCATAGCCCCCTTCACTCTCCCATTCACCTAGCCCCGTTCACTCTCCCATACACCTAGTCCCCTTCACTCTCCCATACACCTAGTCCCCTTCACTCTCCTATACACCTAGCCCCCTTCACTCTCCCATACACCATAGCCCCCCTCACTCTCCCATACACCATAGCCCCCCTCACTCTCCCGTACACCATAGCCCCCCTCACGCTCCCGTACACCATAGCCTCCCTCACTCTCCCGTACACCATAGCCCCCCTCACTCTCCCATACACCATAGCCCCCCTCACTCTCCCGTACACCATAGCCCCCTTCACTCTCCCATTCACCTAGCCCCGTTCACTCTCCCATACACCTAGTCCCCTTCACTCTCCCATACACCTAGTCCCCTTCACTCTCCTATACACCTAGCCCCCTTCACTCTCCCATACACCATAGCCCCCCTCACTCTCCCGTACACCATAGCCCCCCTCACGCTCCCGTACACCATAGCCTCCCTCACTCTCCCGTACACCATAGCCCCCCTCACTCTCCCATACACCATAGCCCCCCTCACTCTCCCGTACACCATAGCCCCCCTCACTCTCCCATGCACCATAGCCCCCCTCACTCTCCCTAGCCTCCCTCACTCTCCCGTACACCATAGCCTCCCTCACTCTCCCGCACCATAGCCCCCTCACTCTCCCATGCACCATAGCCCCCCTCACTCTCCCATACACCATAGCCCCCCTCACTCTCCCGTACACCATAGCCTCCCTCACTCTCCCGTACACCATAGCCTCCCTCACTCTCCCATTGACCATAGCCCCCCTCACTCTCCCAAACACCATAGCCCCCCTCACTCTCCCATACACCATAGCCCCCCTCACTCTCCCATACACCATAGCCTCCCTCACTCTCCCATGCACCATAGCCCCCCTCACTCTCCCATGCACCATAGCCCCCCTCACTCTCCCATGCACCATAGCCCCCCTCACTCTCCCATACACCATAGCCCCCCTCACTCTCCCATGCACCATAGCCCCCCTCACTCTCCCATGCACCATAGCCCCCCTCACTCTCCCATACACCATAGCCCCCCTCACTCTCCCGTACACCATAGCCCCCCTCACTCTCCCATACACCATAGCCCCCCTCACTCTCCCATACACCATAGCCCCCCTCACTCTCCCATACACCATAGCCCCCCTCACTCTCCCATGCACCATAGCCCCCCTCACTCTCCCATGCACCATAGCCCCCCTCACTCTCCCATACACCATAGCCCCCCTCACTCTCCCATACACCATAGCCCCCCTCACTCTCCCATACACCATAGCCCCCCTCACTCTCCCGTACACCATAGCCCCCCTCACTCTCCCATACACCATAGCCCCCCTCACTCTCCCATACACCATAGCCCCCCTCACTCTCCCATACACCATAGCCCCCCTCACTCTCCCATGCACCATAGCCCCCCTCACTCTCCCATGCACCATAGCCCCCCTCACTCTCCCATGCACCATAGCCCCCCTCACTCTCCCGTACACCTTAGCCTCCCTCACTCTCCCATACACCATAGCCCCCCTCACTCTCCCATACACCATAGCCCCCCTCACTCTCCCGTACACCATAGCCTCCCTCACTCTCCCATTGACCATAGCCCCCCTCACTCTCCCAAACACCATAGCCCCCCTCACTCTCCCATACACCATAGCCCCCCTCACTCTCCCATGCACCATAGCCCCCCTCACTCTCCCATACACCATAGCCCCCCTCACTCTCCCATACACCATAGCCCCCCTCACTCTCCCATGCACCATAGCCCCCCTCACTCTCCCATGCACCATAGCCTCCCTGCATCCACACAGCCCTTGCGGACGTATTCGAGGGGGTTGTCGGCCCAGAGCAGGGCGGCCTGGTCGTTCAACCCTCTTCCCCATGCACCGTAAACCCCCTCTCCCCCTGCACGCACATCCCTCCTCCCCTCCCTTTACCCACCGTAGCCCTTGCGGACGTATTCGAGGGGGTTGTCGGCCCAGAGCAGGGCGTCCTGGTCGTTGAAGCAGAGCAGCGGGAACGCCACCTCGAACTGCAGCACCTGCAGGTGCGGCTTCAACGCCTCGTACAGCGCCTTCTTCGATAGACTGGGGGCAGGGGTGAGCGGGACAAACAAGGGGAGGCATGGGGACAAGCGGATGAGGGGTGACCGAATTGGACATGTGGTCTCAGCTGCAGCACCTGCAGGTGCGGCTTCAACGCCTCGTACAGCGCCTTCTTTGATAGACTGGGGGAGGGGGTGATAGGAAGTATGGGGAGAAGCAGACGAGGAATCAGCACAACTGGGCACGTGGTCTCAGCTGCAGCACCTGCAGGTGCGGCTTCAACGCCTCCTACAGCGCCTTCTTTGATAGACTGGTGGCAGGGACGATTGGAAGTATAGGGAAAGGAAGACGAGGAATGAGTGAATGGGGATGAGCAGATGAGGCATATGCTCTCAACTGCAGCACCTGCAGGTGCGGCTTCAGTGACTCGTACAGCGCCTTCTTTAATAGACTGGCAGTGAAGCGAGTGGAAGTAAAGGGAGAAGTAGACGATGGATGAGCAAGAGAAGATGAGCACATTGCGCATGTGGTCTCAGGTGCAGCACCTGCGGGTGCGCAGGACGGGGAGACCAGATCATGTCTGAGAGGCATGAGGGCGACAAGAGTGAGACACAAATGCATAGCATGCTGTTGGTGCCATTCCATGATGGCATATGCACGCACCCACACATACCTGTAGGTGACGTATTGCAGGGCGAGGTTGGTGATGCGATCGGGCAGGCTGTTGGGGTTCTGAGTCAACTGAAAAGCCCACACACACACACACATGCCCACCCAGACCCACCTACACACACGCCCAACCACGCACGCACCTGTAGGTGACGTATTGCAGGGCGAGGTTGGTGATGCGGTCGGGCAGGCTGTTGGGGTCGGTGCGCACGGGAGCCAGCAGGTGCAGGTACGAGTTCAGCAGCCGCCCCGCACACTTGTCCGCGAACATGGTGGCGAACGCATTATCCTCGCCCTTGGCGTACTTGGGGTTGCCGAACCTGTGGGATCGAAGAATGGGTGTGCGGTGTGGGGTAAGATTCAAGGCGCCTCAGCATAGCAGGCGCGCAGCACACTTGTCCGCGAACATGGTGGCAAACGCCTTGTCCTCGCCCTTGGCGTACTTGGGATTGCCGAACCTGCGGGACAGAGGAGAACGGGTGTGTGGTGACGCACGAGGGTCGAGCCGAGGCTACTACACTGATACGACAACTCCCATGCCCACACCATCCACCGTCCCCATGCGGCATGCATGCTGCTTGCATGGCTTGAGTTGGGTGTAACTTACAAACGGCAAATTGCACTGCTGCTGCTTCCTTCAACCATACCCATGCCACCTGCCTATCACCCCTTGAGGATCAGCACCTGTGGAACATGCGGTTGATGATGTGCAGCAGCCACTTGTTGACCTTCCACCACGCCCACTGCTTGCGCTGCTCATGCCCATGCCTGTAACCCTCACCCCACGCCCTTGCCCATACTCTCCAACGCCCCCCCGTGCCATGCCCCAGCACCCTTTCATACACAGTACCTGTGGAACATGCGGTTGATGATGTGCAGCAGCCACTTCTTCACTTTCCACCACGCCCACTGCTTGCGCTGCTCAGGGTCCGTGGGCTGCCCCTCCGTGGGCACCGGCCGCTCCAGCAGCGCGTGGAAGCACTCCATCCACGCCAGGAACACCGACTCCTGCCGCACCATTTCCGGTACCTTCAACTGTCATTAGGAACATGGGGGGTGGGAGGATGGGGTGAAAGGTTCGCTCCAGCAGCGCGTGGAAGCACTCCATCCACGCCAGGAACACCGACTCCTGCCTCACCATCTCCGGTACCTTCAACTGGTATGTGGGGATGGGTGGATGAGGATGGGGGAGAAAAAGGGGGTTAAGGAGAGGGAAGGGTGGGTTCAGCAGCGCGTGGAAGCACTCCATCCACGCCAGGAACACCGCCTCCTGACGCACAATCTCGGGCACCTTCAGCTGTTGTTGGGGATGGGGCGAGATAGGGGTTGGGGGAACGAGAAAAGAGAAAGGCCGGGTCAGCAGCGCGTGGAAGCACTCCATCCATGCCAGGAACACCGACTCCTGCCGCACCATCTCCGGTACCTTGAGCTGTTAGTGAGGGATGGGGAGATGGGGCGACGGGGAGACAGACGATGGGGGAGAAACTGGAGGTTAGAGAAGAAGGAAGGCCGGGTTCAGCAGCGCGTGGAAGCACTCCATCCATGCCACGAACACGCCCTCCTGCCGCACCATCTCGGGCACCTTCAACTGCGAAATTGGGAATGGGGCGAAATTGGGAGATTGGGAGGTGAAGAAACGGATAGTTTGAGATATGGTGGGATGGAGAAGAACGGACAATGGAGGATAGGGCAGGCGTGGCATGGCACCACAAAGTGGAGACTCATCCGTTCATGCTGCATTGCTTAGAATCACACTGCTACTTACTCAGGTGGGTGGCTGCGTGGCACTCACGTAGCAGGCGGACCAGAAGATCTTGAGCACGAGCTTGATGTACTCAACAATCTCGAGGGAATCACGTGTGTAGCCACGTGGGGTCCCAGTGCCACTCACGTGGGAGGCACACATGGGCACTCACGTAGCAGGCGGACCAGAAGATTTTGAGCACGAGCTTGATGTACTCGGCGATGTCGAGGGAGGGGTTGGGCACGGCCAGCAGCTGCTGCAGAATCACCAGCAGCTGCGGGAACGTGCTGGTTACCACCTCGTGCACTGGCACCCTGTCCTCCTCGTCCTTGAACCTGCACACGCACGAGTGGAAGAGGGAAGAAGGGGGGGGGGAAGGAAAATGAAAGGAGCGGATGGCGGGTGGCGGGTGGGATGGGGGACTAGAAAATGCTGGTTACCACCTCGTGCACGGGCACACGGTCCTCCTCGTCCTTGAACCTGGGTTCAGGGTTTGGCACGAGGGAAAGTGGGGGAAGGAGAAGCTGTGGAGTCTGGACTGGAGAAAGAAAGGAGGGGATGACGGATGGCAGATGGCGGGTGGGAAGAGGCAACGGAAAGAGAAGACTGCACGCAACCCCCCACACAACTGCACACACTCGTACACGCGCCCCATCGCAGGCACGTACTCGTATTTGCGCGCGAGCACGCGGACGACGACGAGAGCGCCGTACACACGCGGCTGGTCGGGGCTGTGCAGGTTGGCGAGTGCCTGCTGCAGCAGCGCGGGCATGCGGTCGGGATAGTCGCTCTGCACCACCGCCTTGAGCACCTCGATCAACTGCGACCTGCGGAGGGTGCAGAGGGGGGGAGATGGGGGGGGCGGAAAGGTGGCGCAATGAGGAGGGTTTGTTGCCCATCGCCTGCTGCAGCAGCGCGGGCATGCGGTCGGGATAGTCGCTCTGCACCACCGCCTTGAGCACCTCGATCAACTGCGACCTGCACAGTGGGAGGGCGGAACAAAGTCAGGGGTCTCCTTAGTCGTTGTACCTTGCAGAAGATTATACAAGACAATTACAGGGGGTCAGAGGCGAGAATAAGAAATGAAGACGGAATGCGAGGGCAGGACGGCAGCGCACCTGATGAGCGGCGGGCAGCAGATGACGGCCTCCACGAGATTGTCGCGCACCGCCGCCACGTCACCCTCCGAGAACAGCGGCGAGCCTGCCGGGATCGCAGTGGACGGAACGCGTACGGTTAGAGACGAAGCAGGGTACAGAAGTCCTATCACCCAGCAATCGCAGGCTATACCCATTTACCCGGATCCCATCCCTCGCCCTTGTCGGACAAGGATAGCCTCATCCAGTAAGACAGAGTTCCACCTGCTTCGTTACAAGACGTTGCGTTATCTTCCTTCCACGTGAAGTATCCCATCGTCTGTTCTTCTTCTCACACAGCCGCATTCTCAAAATCTTTGTGAGGCACTGCCTAGAATGTTTGGCTTATAACGAGACGACGACTCACCTGCAGCGGCGGCCTCGGTAGCGTCGGATTTGGTTCTCCAGTTGCGCGACACGGTGTTCTTGAAATGAATGGCCGCCACCTGGCGGATCGCGAGGTCCACGTCAGTACGCACGACCATCTGCAGCAGCGCCACGAGATGGCCCGGCACGAACTGGTTCTGCCCATTCGGAATGAGGACGGGGGGAACGAGAACGCGCACAGTGGGACGGGGGGAGCGGGGAGATTACGGCGGGAAGATCACACGGACGAAGACGACGAAAGGAGTTGGTTTGGCGTCGCCTGAGAATGCGACAATGCGCGACAGCATCGAATCTAAGGTTAGGTTGTCGGAATGCTCGTGCTCCTCGGTCACGCTTACATTCTGCTAGGTAAGCTGTAAGACAGGAAATCTAGCGAATCACAAAGAAGGATTCACATCTACAAACAGAAGGATCAAGTGACGGGACGATCTGCGGACAGGATAATCGACGGACATGATGATCTACGGACAAGAGGAACTACGGACAAGAGGATCTACGGACAAGAGGAACTACGGACAAGAGGATCTCCGGACAAGAGGATCTACGGACGATATGACCTACGGGCGGGACAGACGGGATGATCTACGAACGGCTCTACGGACGGACCTGCACGAGGTGAGCCTCGCCGGCCTTGCGCTCCTCGGGATTGGCGCTGAGCGCCTGCTGCAGCACGCCGGACAGCTGCGCTAAATCCATGGCGGCGACACGCAGAAATCAAGCGGAGCAGACGCAAGTTGCGGATCCGCGCACAGGCAGTCGTGGCTAGAGCGGGCTAGAATCTCGCAGAAGCAGAGATGCAACGCGTGCTGTTGCTCCTCGAGCTTGCCAGGCAAAGAGAGCACAACTACGGGATTCTCGAGGAATTTATGCCGTGCAGATGGAAGAGTGATGGTTTCAGCTGTGATGGGATGGGATGGCATGGGTGTCACAAGCATCCATGCTGTGATGAGCACCCATTTACGAGAGATTTGCCAGAATGAGTCCCCAAGAGCCTGACGGGTTCAGGGTTCAGGGGTTTTTTCGTGGAAAACTAGTGGTCCAGAAGTGTCGCACACGGCGAGGCGGCGTGGAGTTCTAGGGTGCCGTGGCGACAAAGTCAACGACAGTTGCGAGGTATCCACCAATATTGGAACATTCTGCTCCAGTAACGGAGATAGCAAGTTATTCTTCTATGGGAACGCTACATAATGAACACTTACTAAGCATTGTAAATTAGCTATCTGAACAGGTGTACCATAGGTTGTGCCAAGGCGCGCTACATGCTCAGGATGAGCCACAGAGCAGTTCCCCTAACAAACACGAGCGCAGCAGGTACGGCTATGAGGCCTGGTGGCAAAAGACCAGGCAAGCCCTGGAGATTATATGCACCAAACAATCACCAGCTGATATCCTCCCAGTTTCAGCTTTGATGCTGGACGGTCAGGGCATCAATCCCTAGTCCGAATCCAAACAGGGAAGCACTGCAATGAGAAGCCGCAACGAGAAACAACTTCACACCTCGAGGTGCTTCGCACCAAGAGGGGGGCACACCGAGACGAGAGCCACGTTCACTTCACACCGCACTGCTTCACGCTAGTGCCGCTACAGGCTCCTCAGCAGCAGGCGCCTTGGCTTCTGGCGAGTTGGCTTCGCTGGGCGGCACGAGCTGCCAGAAGAGCGGCAGGTACCTGTCCCACTCGGCTAGGATGGCCGCTGCCTTGGCACTGCCCGTCAGATCCTGCTCCGCACACAGGGAGAGGAGGGCGAGGGGGAGATGCATGTGAGTGGGGAAAGTAGGGATACTGGTACTAACACAGTTACACCTTACACAGAGAAACAAGGTCGAGTGCAGGCAGGCACGGTGCGAGTAGGTGTGAGTGGGTGCAGAGAGAGCGTACCGCATGGTCCTGGATGAGTGACTTGAGCTGCTCCTGACCCCCCGGCGACACCACTCTCTGCATCGCCACAATCTCCCGATTCACCTGACGAATCACATGCAGGTGGCCAGCCAGATACAGCAAGGTTAGGAATGCAGTAAAACTTCCTGATGTTCAAAGTAGTAAATAGATGTGACGGCGCGATCAAGAGAGAGAAATCACCCATTTAAAACAAAAGGGGAAGGGAGATGAGATGGCAATTGATGGTGAGGAAGGGTGGGCAACGGACCTTGGGGGAGAAGGTGTCGTCCTCATCAAGGAAGTAGCCGATGCCTCCCGTCATGCCTGCTGCCACGTTGCGACCCACCCTGAGGGGGAGAAGGAGAGAGTGAGAGTGAGAGGGCCACAGAGAGACACAAGTGGTGAGGATCGCCCAGAACCAAACCCTCCAGCACGGCCTGTGCGTTGGAGTTGCGCACCGCAAAGCCTTTGAGTCGTCTCAAAACACTAGCACTCACTTGCCAAGCGCCACGACAACCCCGCCAGTCATGTACTCGCAGCAGTGGTCGCCCGCGCCCTCCAGCACGGCCTGTGCGTTGGAGTTGCGCACCGCGAAGCGCTCCCCCGCACAGCCGCGCACAAAGAGGCGCCCGCCCGTGGCGCCGTAGAGGCACGTGTTGCCGATGATGGTGGCTGTCTCCGCCTCAAAGGTCGCTGCCTTGGATGGCACCACCACTATCTGCCCCCCTGCCATGCCCTGTGCGGATTCAAAACAAGGGAGGAAGAGAAGGTGTGGGGAGAGGGAGTTGAGACAAGAAGGAATGTAGGGAGGAGAAGATGAGAATGGGTAGAACGGAAGGGGCTTCTGCCTAAAGTGCTGTGCAGACAGGTGTTGGGGTTCTGGCGGCATAGCGTCTCCTTTCAAGCCCATACCTTGCCCACATAGTCTCCTTTCTAGCCCATACCTTGCCCACATAGTTGTTGCAGCATATAGTCCTTGCATCAAATATATGCTGCCGGGACTGTATGCTGCCGGGACTGTATGCTGCCGGGACTGTATGCTGCCGGGACTGTATGCTGCTGGGACTATATGTTGCAAGGACTATATGCGTCTCCTTTCTAGCCCATACGGTCATACCTTGCCGACATAGTCGTTGGCCTCGCCAATGAGCCGAACGTTCATGCCGCCTGCCAGGAAGCACCCAAACGACTGCCCTGCACTGCCCTTGAACCTGCCGACACGAATACACACGAGGACGGAAAAATCTTCATGTGGGAGAGCGTGGGGCGTGACTGCTGCATAGGGTACAGGCACTGCACGGTGCAACCACAGCGCTGGGAGGACGGAGGACATAAGAAGCGAAGGATGATGCAGGGGAGGGGAGGGGGCAGCGGGGGCTCACGTGATGTTGACGGCGCCTGTGAAGCCCGAGTCACCGTGGCGCTTGGCAATGGCGCCTGCCACACGGCCACAGGTGGAGCGGTCGGTGTTGACGATGGGCGTGGCGAGCTGCACCACCTTGTTCTGCTCTATGGCCGCCATCACCTGCACATGGGGAGAAGATTGAGGGTTCGCAATTAGCCAAAAGATGTGCAAAGCAGGCAATGTCAACGGATACATGATGCATGTAGGGAGGCAAGTGAGTTGCAATCATGTGGAGGGTGTGTATCATGTATGTATGGGAAAGGTGGGCATATGGGGGTTGGGGTGCAACGCACGGTGGGGTTGGCGAGCAGCGCATCGTCCAGCATGGGCCCGTTGGAGTGCACCTCCTGTGCCATGCGCTCCGAACTGCTCAGCTCCGACACCCCCGGGTACTGCCATGTGCGGGCAGACAAGGGGGAGAGGAGGAACAGGGAGCATGTGAGACAGGAAAGGGGGTTCGAGAACACTGTCGCATGCTGGAGTGCCATGCGCTCACTGCTGCTCTGCTCGGAGACCCCCGGGTACTGGTGGCATGGGAGCATGGGGGAGACGGGACGGTGGCATGTCAGTGTGAGGATGGAGGGATAATCTGTAGAGTGGAGGCATATGTATGTGGAGATGTGACAGAACGAGCCGGGCAAAGAGAATCGATGGCATGTATGCATCCAGAAGAGAACCACGCAGTGAGGAGGGAGGAGGGGTGTGCATGGAGGGAGGTGTGCATGGAGGGAGGTGTGCATGGAGGGAGGTGTGCATGGAGGGAGGTGTGCATGGAGGGAGGAGGGGTGTGCATGGAGGGAGGTGTGCATGGAGGGAGGTGTGCATGGAGGGAGGTGTGCATGGAGGGAGGTGTGCATGGAGGGAGGTGTGCATGGAGGGAGGTGTGCATGGAGGGAGGTGTGCATGGAGGGGGGAGTGCATGGAGGGAGGTGTGCATGGAGGGAGGAGGGGTGTGCATGGAGGGAGGTGTGCATGGAGGGAGGTGTGCATGGAGGGAGGTGTGCATGGAGGGAGGTGTGCATGGAGGGAGGTGTGCATGGAGGGAGGTGTGCATGGAGGGAGGTGTGCATGGAGGGAGGTGTGCATGGAGGGGGGAGTGCATGGAGGGAGGTGTGCATGGAGGGAGGTGTGCATGGAGGGAGGAGGGGTGTGCATGGAGGGAGGTGTGCATGGAGGGAGGTGTGCATGGAGGGAGGTGTGCATGGAGGGAGGTGTGCATGGAGGGAGGTGTGCATGGAGGGAGGTGTGCATGGAGGGAGGAGGGGTGTGCATGGAGGGAGGTGTGCATGGAGGGAGGTGTGCATGGAGGGAGGTGTGCATGGAGGGAGGTGTGCATGGAGGGAGGTGTGCATGGAGGGAGGTGTGCATGGAGGGAGGTGTGCATGGAGGGAGGTGTGCATGGAGGGGGGAGTGCATGGAGGGAGGTGTGCATGGAGGGAGGTGTGCATGGAGGGAGGAGGGGTGTGCATGGAGGGAGGTGTGCATGGAGGGAGGTGTGCATGGAGGGAGGTGTGCATGGAGGGAGGAGGGGTGTGCATGGAGGGAGGTGTGCATGGAGGGAGGTGTGCATGGAGGGAGGTGTGCATGGAGGGAGGTGTGCATGGAGGGGGGAGTGCATGGAGGGAGGTGTGCATGGAGGGAGGTGTGCATGGAGGGAGGAGGGGTGTGCATGGAGGGAGGTGTGCATGGAGGGAGGTGTGCATGGAGGGAGGTGTGCATGGAGGGAGGTGTGCATGGAGGGAGGTGTGCATGGAGGGAGGTGTGCATGGAGGGAGGAGGGGTGTGCATGGAGGGAGGTGTGCATGGAGGGAGGTGTGCATGGAGGGAGGAGGGGTGTGCATGGAGGGAGGTGTGCATGGAGGGAGGTGTGCATGGAGGGGGGAGTGCATGGAGGGAGGTGTGCATGGAGGGAGATGTGCATGGAGGGAGGAGGGGTGTGCATGGAGGGAGGTGTGCATGGAGGGAGGTGTGCATGGAGGGAGGAGGGGTGTGCATGGAGGGAGGTGTGCATGGAGGGAGGTGTGCATGGAGGGAGGTGTGCATGGAGGGAGGTGTGCATGGAGGGAGGTGTGCATGGAGGGAGGTGTGCATGGAGGGAGGTGTGCATGGAGGGAGGTGTGCATGGAGGGAGGTGTGCATGGAGGGAGGTGTGCATGGAGGGAGGTGTGCATGGAGGGAGGTGTGCATGGAGGGAGGTGTGCATGGAGGGAGGTGTGCATGGAGGGAGGTGTGCATGGAGGGAGGTGTGCATGGAGGGAGGTGTGCATGGAGGGAGGTGTGCATGGAGGGAGGTGTGCATGGAGGGAGGTGTGCATGGAGGGAGGTGTGCATGGAGGGAGGTGTGCATGGAGGGAGGTGTGCATGGAGGGAGGTGTGCATGGAGGGAGGTGTGCATGAAGGGAGGTGTGCATGGAGGGGGGTGTGCATGGAGGGGGGTGTGCATGGAGGGGGGTGTGCATGGAGGGAGGTGTGCATGGAGGGAGGTGTGCATGGAGGGAGGTGTGCATGGAGGGGGGTGTGCATGGAGGGAGGTGTGCATGGAGGGAGGTGTGCAGACGCGAGCGGCAGCATACAGTGAGGAGGTAGGAGAGGTCGATGGAGGTGGTCTTAGCGAGTGGCACGTCCCTGGCCTTGAGTGCGTCCACCCGCCCCACCAGCTCGTCCAAACTCCTCATGCCCAGCGACGCCAGCCCCACCCTCACCTGCAGGGGACGAGCAGGGGAGAGATGGGCGGCTCAGAGGCAGACAGGTGAGGAAGGGAAAGGGAGGAGGCAAGAACTTGGCTAGGAGGTCTCAAGAGCAGGAGCAAGTGGAAGGGGGAAAGGGAGAGGGCGTGTGAGTGACTGACCTCCTCTGCAACGAAGACAAAGTAGTTGACCAGGTCTGATGGCACTCCAGGGAATCGCGCCCTCAGCTCCTCCCTCTGGTGCACACACACACACGCGCACGCACGGAGACACGCACGCACGCACACGTGCACAATAGCAGGGGGGAGAAGCCATGCGGTGACACGGAGCAATGGAAAAGAGAAGTGAGAAGCAGAAGAAAGCGGGGGACGGACGGAGATGATAGAGGAAGGTGAGGAGACATGAAAGATAACATCAGTATGAGGCAGCTGCCTAGAACCAACAAAGATTATCCCCCAGAGCCAGAAATTCCCTGAAACATCCACCTGCTGCAAGCGATGGTGGGGTACCTGCGAGGCGACTCCAACAGGGCAGTTGTCGGTGTGGCGGATGCGAGCCATGATGCACCCCGTGGCGATCATAGCGAGGTGAAACGTACCTGAGGTGGTGCGGTGGTATGGCATCTGAGGGGGAGCGCTGGTACTGGCACCATACCTGCGAGGCAACCCCAACAGGGCAGTTGTTGGTGTGGCAGATGCGCGCCATGATGCACCCCGTGGCGATCATAGCGAGGTGAAACGTACCTGAGGTGGTGCGGTGGTATGGCATCTGAGGGGGAGCGCTGGTACTGGCACCATACCTGCGAGGCAACCCCAACAGGGCAGTTGTTGGTGTGGCAGATGCGAGCCATGATGCACCCCGTGGCGATCATAGCGAGGTGAAACGTACCTGAGGTGGTGTGGTGGTATGGCATCTGAGGGGGAGCGCTGGTACTGGCACCATACCTGCGAGGCAACCCCAACAGGGCAGTTGTTGGTGTGGCGGATGCGAGCCATGATGCACCCCGTGGCGATCATAGCGAGGTGAAACGTACCTGAGGTGGTGCGGTGGTATGGCATCTGAGGGGGAGCGCTGGTACTGGCACCATACCTGCGAGGCAACCCCAACAGGGCAGTTGTTGGTGTGGCGGATGCGAGCCATGATGCACCCCGTGGCGATCATAGCGAGGTGAAACGTACCTGAGGTGGTGCGGTGGTATGGCATCTGAGGTAGGGTACTTGAGGAGGTATGTATGTTGCTACAGTACCTGCGAGGCAACCCCAACGGGGCAGTTGTTGGTGTGGCAGATACGAGCCATGATGCACCCTGTGGCGATCATGGCCAGCGACCCGAAGCCAAACTCATCGGCGCCCATGGCGGCCGCGACGAGCACGTCCGTGCCGCACTTGATGCCCCCGTCCACCCGCAGAACCACGCGGTCCCTCAGCCCATTCGCCAGGAGCGTCTGGAAGGGAGGGAGACGGGGGATTGAGGAGCAATGACAACCCACTTGATGCGTCCCACTCCACCCCACCCCATCCCATCACACCCAGTGCGTCCCAATCCGCCCCATCCCATCCCACCTGGTGCATCTCAGTAACACGCACCTGGTGCGTCTCAGTGAGTCCCATCTCCCAGGGTCCACCAGCGTGCTTGATGGAGCTGATGGGGCTGGCGCCCGTGCCACCGTCGTGCCCTGAGATCTCAATGATACCCCAACTTGATGCGCCCCACTCTGTCTCATCCCATCCCACCTGGTGCGTCTCGGTAAGTCCCATCTCCCAGGGTCCACCAGCATGCTTGATGGAGCTGATGGGGCTGGCGCCCGTGCCGCCATCATGCCCCGAGATCTGAATGATGTCAGCGTTGGCCTTGGCCACGCCGCTCGCCACTGTTCCGATGCCCGCCTCCGCCACCAGCTTCACAGAGACCTTCGCCGCTGGGTTCACCTGGATGGGTGGGAGAGGAGTGTTCCAAAGGAGACGGGTCGGAGAAACGACAGAGTGAGTGGAGCATGTGTGTACATGCGTGCATGTGATACAGTGCTATTCTTTAGAAGGGCGGAGGACATGATTGGAGCACGTATATAAAAGCCCGTGGCCCCATACCTGGTGCAGGTCAAAGATGAGCTGGGCGAGGTCTTCAATGGAGTAGATGTCATGGTGCGGAGGCGGCGAGATGAGCGGCACGCCAGGCTTGGAGCTCCTGAGCTGCGCAATGTAGGGCGACACCTTCTTGCCCGGCAGCTGCCCGCCCTCCCCTGGCTTCGCCCCCTGCGCCACCTTAATCTCCAGCTGGTCCGCATTCGCCAGGAACGTCGGCGTCACGCCAAACCTCCCCGAAGCCACCTGCTTGATCGCGCTCGTTGCCTTGTCCCCGTTCCTCAGCCCCTTGAGATGCGGGAAAGTCGGCGAGCGCCCGTCGGCATCCACGTCCTCTAGCTCCACCCAGCGCATGGGGTCCTCTCCGCCCTCCCCGGAGTTGCTCTTCCCGCCCAGCCTGTTCATGGCGACAGCAATCACCTCGTGGCACTCCCTGGAAATGGCGCCCAGGGACATGCCTCCCGTGCAGAACCGCGTGGCGATCGACGCTGCCGACTCGACCTCTTCCAGTGGGATCGCTGCACGGCTGGCGCTGTCCAGCTCGAGCAGGTCACGGAGCACGTTGATGGGGCGCGTGGCGAGGTGCGCCTGGTAGGCCGCGTAGGCGGTCTGCTCGCCCTGGCGCACGGCCTTGTGCAGCAGCTTGCTCATCTCGGGGTTGTTGCTGTGGTACTCGCCGCCCTGCCTCACCTGCAAGAAAACGCCCGACATGTTCCAGCGAGCAGCAGTTTAGGAGAAAGTTTAGCCAAGGAAAGGCTGTTGTTATAGCAAGAAACTAACTGGAGCTCTTCACTAATTCGCGTAGGGATTAGTAAAATTGGAGCTCTTCACTAAGCAGTGGTTAAAACATGGGCAAACACATTTCGGCTGGTAGGGAAGCCCCTAGCAAGCGTGCAGCAGCTTGCTCATCTCAGAGTTGTTGCTGTGGGTTGTTGCTGTGGTACTCGCCGCCCTGCCTCACCTGCAGGAACCCCATGTTCTCCAGCTTGCCCTTGCCCTCCGCGCCAAACCCCTTGGCCCAAAACGTCAGACTCTCGTTCGCAAGCTGGGGAAAGACGGGGGCAGGAGGGGAGGGAAGACAGGGTGTCAATGACCTTGGTATACAGTGCAAGGCCTGTGTCCACAGCACAACATGGCACAGCATGCAGTGGTATCTGCACTGTAAATGCTAGAAACAGGAGGAAAAAGCAAGGTAACACTCACCTCGTCGAGGGTGAGTCCCCCAATGCGGGAGACGGAGCCCTTGAAGGCGCGGTCCACCACCTGAGATCCCAGCCCATAGATCTCAAAGATCTGCGCGCCACAGTAGCTGGACAGCAGCGATATGCCCATCTTGGACAAAATCTTCATCAGCCCCTTCTCTATCGCCTGCAGTGATGGGAAACACAGAAAGATGGGGGCTAAGTTGAGAGTGAGCTGGCGGCTGGCACAGATTCATTTGCCCGTATACGGCAATGAGCAACGGAGCGCCACAGTCGCTCGACAGCAGCGAGATGCCTGTGTTCAGCAACGGACGCACCTTGCGGTAGTTGAGCTGCGCCTGCTCCGAGGTGACAGTAGGCAGCTTGCCAAACGTCATGAGCTTCTGCGTCTTCTCACTCGCACGCCACTGCCGCACCGTCTCCAACGCCCCGTACGCACACACAGCACTGGCGCCATACCCCACCAGGCACGCAAAGTGGTGCGTGCTGAAGCACTGCGCGGTCTCCACCACAATCGACGCATTCAGGCGCTTCCCACTGCGAATCAAATGGTGGTGCACGGCCCCCACAGCCAATAACGCCGGGATCGCCGGCCGGGTGGCGTCAATCTGGTCGGCATTGTCCGACAGCACTAGCAGCTGCGCACCAGAGTCAACGGCAGCGTCAGCCGCCACACAGAGCGCGTCAAGGCCGCGGGAGAGCGCGCCGTCAACGCCCTGGGAGACGTCGAAGAAGATGGGCAGGCGCGCTGCCGCAAGCTGCTTGTCTTCCATCAGCTCCTGCAGCTCTGCCTCGTTCAGCACTGGCGAGGTCAGGCGCACCACGTTGGCGTGCTCGGCGCCCACGTCCAGGATGTTGTCTCGCCGCCCCAGAGCCATCTCGAGAGACATCACCAGGCCCTCCCTGAGTGGGTCGATGGCCGGGTTGGTGACCTGCAGGGGAGAGGGGAGGGTGGAGGTAGTGCGGTGGGAAGGAATGGCACCACGTTGGCATGCTCAGCACCCACGTCCAGGATGTTGTCTCGCCGCCCGAGAGCCATCTCGAGAGACATCACCAGGCCCTCACGCAGGGGGCCGATGGCGGGGTTGGGTGACGGTGGTGGCAGTGCAAGGGGAGAGAGGAGAGCGTGGTGGGGTGGGCGAGAGGTACAGATCGAGCTAAGTTATGCGCAAGCCAGCTTGGGAGCCAAAAAGAGCCATCCCTACAGTTTATACAACGGTTCTTTGAGTTGGTGGGAGCAGGGCGTTGCTGCAACGGACCTGGGCGAAGCGCTGCTTGAAGTAGTTGTAGAGCAGGTGGGGGCGCGCGGAGAGCACGGGGAGGGGCGTGTCGTCGCCCATGCAGAAGGTGGGCTCGATGGCCTGCGCTGCCATGCTCTCTATCACCATCACCACATCCTCACTCGAATACCCGTACGCACTGTGGCGAGGGGAAGGGTGAGGGAAGGGTGGGTGGGGCCAGCAGAGAGAGTCTCAGAAGGTGGGCTTGATGGCCTGCGCTGCCATGCTCTCTATCACCATCACCACGTCCTCACTCGAATACCCGTACGCACTGTCGGGGGGGGGGAAGGGTGAGGGAAGGGTGGGGTCAGCAGAAAGGGTCTCAAAAGCGAGGCTCTATCACCATCACCACGTCCTCACTCAAATACCCGTACGCAGGGTTGGGGCAGCAGAAGAGCCGTGTTGATTGATAGAAGATGACGATCATAGAAGTGAGAACGGAAAGTGGGGACGGGTGGACAGTAGGGGTGTGTAGATGGCTGGATGCTGCTGCATCCAGAAAGGGGGAATGGGAAGTGGGGATACAGGAGGGGCGGGAGGTGGAAAGGTGGGAACGGATGGCTCACTTTTGCCTGCGAAGCACTTCGTCGGGGGAGAGGGCTGGCTCAGCAGTGAATGGCATGGGGACGATCTGACGCGACTGGTGGCACAAAGAGAGCGGGAGAGGCGCAATAGGGCGGGGGTGGTTGTGGGGTTGAGGTTTGTTGGAGGGAACGGGAGCCATTTGGGAAGGCGAGATGAGTGCAAACAGAAAGCCGGGAACCAGATGACAACAAACATCACACAAGAAACAAAGAGACCAGCCAGCACTCCCTAGCGCCCCAATGCATGCCCCCAAGCGCACTGACCTCCTTATCGAGCCACTCCTTGAAGGGGTGTGCGTTGGCCACCTGCCTCTTGATGGCCGTGTTGGATAGCACCTGAGGGTAATGCGCGGTGGGAAAGGGAGAAAGGTGGTGCAGGGGCGGGGTGATACCAGCGAGATAGAAAGGAAGGTGAGGCTGTGAGTAAGGCTTCTCCTAGAATGCTGGCTTCAGCACAGCACAGTACAGCAGAGCAGTGAAAAGCAGAGGCATGAAGAAGCGTGCATGTAAGCACAGCAGGTGTCTCTCATTCACCTCGCCGGTGTGCAGGTCGACGGAGATCATCATGCCCGGCCCCAGGCGGCCCTTGCTCACGATGGTCGCCTCGTCCATGTTCAACACTCCCACCTGCCCCGTGGGGGTGGGGGAACAGGAAGAGCGGAGGAAGGAAGTGAGTACAATTGCACCACCTGTTCTGTGTGCTCTTGAAAAACGTTTCATTCCGCATGCTTATCACTGATTGAGTGAATAACTTGGGGGGGAGACGGGGTTGCAAGTTGGACGGGAGGGGAGAGGAGTGGGGAAGAGAGGGACAGCAGGCCATGCTGCACCACAGTCAGCAAGGAAAGAACGATAGGGTTGCAAGCAGGGCGAGGACCCACGAAGAACACCTAAGAACGGGAAGAGAGAGGGCTTACCTCAGAGGCGACGTAGAGCATGTCATCGTTGGTTCTCCAGTACCGTGCCGGGCGCAGCCCATTGCGATCCAGACACGCTCCCACTGTCCTCCCGTTGCTGCCGTTCCCAGGGAGAGGGTGGTCGAGATGGGAGAGAGAGATAAGAGCACAGTTCAGAACTAGAGTTGGGAGGCGAACTAGGAGTTTATCCCGTTTGAAGACCATGCAGCAGGGAAAATGCAGGGGCAAACAGGAGCACACATGGGGCGGGCTTCTTACCTGAAGACGAGCAGGGCGGGTCCATCCCACGCCTCCATCTGCGACTTGTAATACTCGTAGAAGCTCACCACCTGTTGAGACAAGGGGTGTGCGGCATACCTCAGTATTGACGAATTATGGCTCAGCAACCAGAAAGCGACCAAGCTCGGCTCGAGATACTACGCCCAACCAAACAAAGTGCAAGGGCAAATGCCTGTGAAACGTCATGACGTGGGACACGTACCTCGGGGTACTTGGCGGAGAGCGTGGGGTGGTTCTGGTAGGCCTCAGGCACGAGCATCATAAGCACCTCCTCCGGCCGCCTGCCACTGTTCAGCAGCAGCTGCGGTCTCAGGGAGGAGGGCGGGAGGGAAGGGGGAGAGGGAGGGAGAGGGAGGGATGGAGGAGAGGGAAGGCAGAAGGCAGAGAACAACCCCTACACCCAGAACGCCCTTCCTCCCAGCACCACCACTCCATCCATCCACCCCACCCCAGCCCCTCACCTCAGCAACACCGTCCAGATTAGCCGAGTCAGACGCAGCGAGGTTAACCACAGGAAAAATATCCGCCTCCCTGCCGCGCCACACGGGGGACGTGAGCGTCGGCTCGCGCGACACCATCCAGTTGAGGTTCCCCTGCAGGGTATTGATCTCGCCGTTGTGCCCCAGGAACCGCATCGGCTGCGCCAGCAGCCACTTGGGCGTGGTGTTGGTGCTGAACCGCCGGTGGTAGATGGCAAACGGGCTGCGGTACAGCTCGTTCTTCAGGTCCGCGTAGAACGCCCCCACCACCGCCGCGCGCAGCATGCCCTTGTAGATGATCGTCTTGCTGGACAGCGAGCAGAAGTACAGGTCGTTCAACGGATGCTCTGTGGCTGGCGCCCCTGCTGCTGCTGCCTCTGCTGCGATGGTGCGTGTAACGGCCTTCTCGATGAGCTTGCGCAGGATGTAGAGCTCGCGCTCAGTGTCGTCTGGGGCGAGGCCGGGGACGGAGAGCACGAGCTGCTGGATAGAGGGCAGCGTGACGCGCGCGAAGGGCCCCACCACCGCCTCGTTCACTGGCACCTGCCGCCACCCCACCACCTCCAGCCCGTGCCCCTCCTCTTTGATTACAGCCTCCACCACTGGGTAGCGGGGGTTGACAGGCGCAAAGGGCGGGATGGGATGCGGCGGAAGTGTGAGACGCGCCGTACAGAGTGGGAGAAGGATGCGGCTATTGGTGACAGTTCGACTAAACCCTGAACCCTGCTCTACTGCTCCGTCTCGACACTCCGAGCCTTAATCGTTCCCTGGTAAAAAGCTTCGCGACAGCTGTTTCACGACACTAACACAGAATGGTTCACACACGCGTGTGTTACTTCGCCACTTTATGCGTCGACTGGCCTGGCGAGCAAGCACTGAGACCACGGTAACTCGTTGTGTTCTTCCCTACAATCTAAAACATGCGCCTTCATATCAAAACTCAATTCCCCTCCCCTATGTGATTTAAAAGCTCACGTTTCTTGGCAGTCTCGGCGTCGCTCTCTTTCTTCGGCAGGAACACCATGCCCACGCCCGTCGCCGCGCGGTCGAGCGGGCCGCGGCCGTTCTCCTGCTGCCAGCTGTCGAGGAGATCCCAAGGCACGGCCGTCATGAGCCCCGCGCCGTCGCCCGAGTCGTTGTCGGCGCTGCAACCGCCGCGATGCTCCATGCATCCCAGCGCCGTCAAACCCTGCGAAGGAGAGCGGGGGGAAGGGGACAACGGGTTAAGGGATGCGAGAGAAAACGGCGATGGCACTACCCGAGTAATGGCCAAACTGGCCGTTTTTAGCGTCGCATACACACTGAGTTTAGGAACGGTGGGGACGACGAGGTAACTGGTTGTAAAGGCTTTTGGCGAAGGATGTCGACCGCGAAGCGGGGTAGAAACCGTGGGGAGATGAGTAGGACAGCGTGAATGACGGACTCGGCATTATCGCAGGAGAAATTGAGCAGCTTCAAAGCAAGAACAGTGTTACCTGCTCGATAATCTTATGCGTGGACTCGTTCTTTAGCGACGCAATCAGGCCGACACCGCACGCTCCGTGCTCCTTGAGGAGCTCCTCCGCGTCCGCCACCTGCGGATACCCGTAACGACGTAAGACACGCGTGGATCAACAAAGTTGAGATGTTGAGATGCCAAGCAAAACGGTTCCTCATTCAAAGCTCTGCACCAGTAGCGTACAAAGCAGCTGCTTTTGAAAAAGGTCTTGGAGCCTACTACGAGCAACTAAAGACTCAAATTGCACACTCGCCCACTTAGACGAAGAGGAAACCCTACCTCGTAAGACTTCTCGACGTCATCCGTCGCAACATTTGTCGTCGAGTACACCGCAGTCGCACGCGACAAGTTAAAGCGACGGCTTGCGACATTGGTCGTATCGCGAACGGCCACGCGTCTGCAGACAGCAGCACCGGAGAGAAACCTAGACCTTGCGTGCACTGCCACGGATGCTCCGAAAAACGACGACGCCTTTCCTGCCTTCTTCCCGCTAGTCGTCTGAAGATCGGCTAAAATTTGAGTACCTCGCGCGAGCAACACTGACTGCTTTAATACCGCTGTCGCCATGGACGGTGACAGGTAAGTGCTCAGTCAGGTTTAGGTGAGCGTCGGTGTTCGTGCAGTGATATCAGCCGTCAGCGAGGAAGCAGCCCTGTGGGCCCTGCGGGAGCTTGCGTAACAGCAGAGTAAGCTATGGCCAATCACGCAGGCTAGAAAATGATTGGAAGTGGAAAGCGTCTGTGCTTTATCTTCCTGCAGGAAAAGTTGGGTGGATCGTGGTTGTTGATGGGAGAGGGGGAGGAGACGTGTTGGACCTTGGGGATGTGGATTGGGTGAGGAGGAAGGGGGAGCACGGGATTGGTGGCTTTATTGTTTGGCTTCGAGCCTTGGGATCTGTGTGGTGGTGAGATGGTGCCATCGGGGCTGGTGCGAAAAGCTTCAGGATTGGATGAATTTGACGGCGAGGGAGGCAATCGTGACAATCTTCGTCTCTCTTCGCAAATTTCAGGAATTAGGTCAGTTTCAGCAGGAATCCGTTCCGTCCTCGTCAGTTTCAATAGCAGGGTACGGCAAGTACATGCATACAAATTTGTCCTCTCATTGGTGGTATTAACGCCATCGTGGCGTACCTCGAGTGGATTGACTGACCACGAGGAGCTCAGGCTACACGCGCATCCAGTAATCTTCCAAGCAAGGGGTCATAATGACGTGGCGATGCAGATGAAGGCCGATGATGTATCGGATTCGTTACGTTGGTCGCTTGCATCATCCAAGATGGAAGGTTCTGATCCACACGAATGTGGAGACTGGTACTCTCCCATATAGAAGTTCACGCATTATGTTACACGCTCAAAACTGTCACAACTTCAGATCAGGGCAATGGTTTGAGTACTATAAGTGTGTCAGTTAGTGGCTCTTCATTAAGTACCTCGCATTGCTACCCATGCACGCTCATTGCTTCTGTCCTGTTCGCACCACGCGTCATATCTCAACTTCCTCTCACTGCCACTGCTACAGCAGTGCCATAATGTCTCAAGCTCCTGGCGCTGCCACTACTACTGCAGTGTTATAATGTCCCAAGTTCCTTCCTGGCACTGCCACTACTACTGCAGCGTTGCCGTATAATGTCCCCAAGTTCTTGGCACAGCCACTATTACTGCTGTGTTGCCGTATATAATGTCCCAAGTTCCTGGAACTGCCACTACTACTACTGCAGTGTATAAGAGCTTGGCTATGGAATCAACAGCTCTGACAGGGAGGAACGAAGTAGAGAGCAGGTACAGTGAAAGGGATTCTTACCGTACCATGATGGCAGCAATGACACAGTGGATTTGGGACTGGTACCGACTTTTGTTGACTGATATTGACTGCCATGTTGCTGCTCTACTGCCCGCAACACAGCTGCATCCACCGCACTGCCACGTGCACACCATTCACCCTGAGGCCAGACCAGAGGATGGATAGGGGAATAATGCAGCAAATAGACTGGCCTAGGGCAGAAGTCAGACAAAGAAATTAGTGCAACAGAAAGCGCAACAAGGAATGGGGTGGCATTAGGGACAAACTCAGATTTGGGCAGAAAGCAGGTCAAGGTGGGCAACAAAGCCAAGGAGCGGAGATCAAGACTGAGAAACTCCAGAATAATCATTGAGCAACTTGAGCACAAGCAATGGCGTGCTTGAGTGGTGGGAGGGGGAAGGACTGGGGAGGGGGAACGGGGAAGGCGCATGGCGACAGTGGCCCACGGCACTAGAGCAGCGAGCTGAGCCAGCGAGGGGGACTGGGGGACGCACGCATGGCATGAATGCACTCCCTCTCCACTACTCTATCCCACCACTCCCACTACACTGCACTCTACATGAGCTCTGCTGCCATAGCACCACGGACCACCACCACCGTGCGCCAAGGGTCATAATTTTGGCAGCAGTGAAAGAGACGGGGATAGCGAAGGCGAAAGGGAGGGGGGAGGACGGGTGTGCGGAGAGGAGACTTAGCTACAGGAGAAGCGTGGACGCAGAGAGTGACTCGCCCAAGGCAGCAGCAGCAAGCAGCAGCGTCCCATGCAGCTCGTCCCATGTGAGGGCGGGGCGCCACTGCTATAAGGGGGCTGTGAGGGCGGGGCGGGGCGGAGCTCATTCACTGGGAGGCTGTGAGGGAGAGGCGTCCCTGCTCTGGGGGGCTGATGCTGATGCTGATGCTGATGCTGATGCTGATGCTGATGCTGATGCTGATGCTGATGCTGATGCTGATGTTGATGCTGATGCTGATGCTGATGCTGATGCTGATGCTGATGCTGCTGATGCTGACGCTGATGCTGATGCTGATGCTGATGCTGATGCTGATATGCTGATGCTGATGCTGCTGATGCTGATGCTGATGATGCTGATGCTGATGCTGATGCTGATATGCTGATGCTGATATGCTGATATGCTGATGCTGATGCTGATGCGCTGATGCTGATGCGCTGATGCTGATGCTGATACTGATGCTGATGCTGATGCTGATGCTGATGCGCTGATGCTGATGCTGATGCTGATGCTGATGTTGATGCTGATGCTGATGCTGATGCGCTGATGCTGATGCTGATGATGATGATGATGCTGATATGTTGATGCTGATGCTGATGATGATGCTGATGCTGATGCTGATGTGCTGATGCTGATGCGCTGATGCTGATGCTGATGCGCTGATGCTGATGCTGATGCTGATGCGCTGATGCTGATGCTGATGCGCTGGTACTGATGCTGATGCTGATGCGCTGACCCTGATGCTGATGGAGATGCGCTGATGCTGATGCGCTGATGCTGATGCTGATGCGCTGATGCTGATGCTGATGCGCTGATGCTGATGCTGATGCGCTGATGCTGATGCTGATGCGCTGATGCTGATGCGCTGATGCTGATGCGCTGATGCTGATGCTGATGCTGATGTTGATGCTGATGCTGATGCTGATGCGCTGATGCTGATGCGCTGATGCGCTGATGCTGATGCTGATGCGCTGATGCTGATGCGCTGATGCTGATGCTGATGCTGATGTTGATGCTGATGCTGATGCTGATGCTGATGCGCTGATGCTGATGCGCTGATGCGCTGATGCTGATGCTGATGCGCTGATGCTGATGCGCTGATGCTGATGCGCTGATGCTGATGCTGATGCGCTGATGCTGATGCGCTGATGCTGATGCTGATGCGCTGATGCTGATGCTGATGCGCTGATGCTGATGCTGATGCGCTGATGCTGATGCTGATGCGCTGATGCTGATGCTGATGCGCTGATGCTGATGCTGATGCGCTGATGCTGATGCTGATGCGCTGATGCTGATGCTGATGCGCTGATGCTGATGCTGATGCGCTGATGCTGATGCTGATGCTGATGCGCTGATGCTGATGCTGATGCGCTGATGCTGATGCTGATGCTGATGCGCTGATGCTGATGCTGGTGCTGATGCTGATGCTGATGTGCTGATGCTGATGCTGATGCGCTGATGCTGATGCTGACGCTGATGCGCTGATGCTGATGCTGATGCGCTGATGCTGATGCTGATGCAAATGCTGATGCTGATGCTGACGATGACGCTGGTGCAAAATTGCTGATGCTGATGCTGATGCGCTGATGCGCTGATGCTGATGCTGATGCTGATGCGCTGATGCTGATGCGCTGATGCTGATGCGCTGATGCTGATGCGCTGATGCTGATGCTGATGCTGATGCTGATGCGCTGATGCTGATGCTGATGATGCTGATGCTGATGCTGATGCGCTGATGCTGATGCGCTGATGCTGTTTCTGCTGCGCTGATGCTGTTTCTGATGCGCTGATGCTGATGCTGATGCGCTGATGCTGATGCTGATGCGCTGATGCTGATGCTGATGCAAAATTGCTGATGCTGATGCAAAATTGCTGATGCGCTGATGCTGATGCTGATGCGCTGATGCGCTGATGCTGATGCTGATGCGCTGATGCTGATGCGCTGATGCTGATGCGCTGATGCTGATGCGCTGATGCTGATGCGCTGATGCTGATGCGCTGATGCTGATGCTGATGCAAAATGCTGATTCTGATGCTGATGCTGACGCTGGTGCAAAATTGCTGATGCTGATGCTGATGCTGACGCTGATGCTGATGCTGATGCGCTGATGCTGATGCGCTGATGCTGATGCGCTGATGCTGATGCGCTGATGCTGATGCGCTGATGCTGATGCGCTGATGCTGATGCGCTGATGCGCTGATGCTGATGCTGATGCGCTGATGCTGATGCGCTGATGCTGATGCTGATGCAAAATGCTGATTCTGATGCTGATGCTGACGCTGGTGCAAATTGCTGATGCTGATGCTGATGCTGACGCTGATGCTGATGCTGATGCGCTGATGCTGATGCGCTGATGCTGATGCGCTGATGCGCTGATGCTGATGCTGATGCGCTGATGCTGATGCGCTGATGCTGATGCGCTGATGCTGATGCGCTGATGCTGATGCGCTGATGCTGATGCGCTGATGCGCTGATGCTGATGCTGATGCGCTGATGCTGATGCGCTGATGCTGATGCGCTGATGCTGATGCTGATATGCTGATGCTGATGCTGATGCTGATATGCTGATGCTGATGCTGATGCGCTGATGCTGATGCTGATGCTAATGCTGATGCTGATGCTGATGCTGATGCTGATGCTGATGCGCTGATGCTGATGCTGATGCTGCTGATGCTGATACTGATGCTGATGCTGATGCTGATGCGCTGATGCGCTGATGCTGATGCTGATGCGCTGATGCTGATGCGCTGATGCTGATGCTGATGCTGATGCTGATGCGCTGATGCTGATGCTGATGCTGATGCTGATGTGCTGATGCTGATGCGCTGATTCTGATGATGATGCGCTGATGCTGATGCTGATGCTGATGCGCTGATGCTGATGCTGATGCGCTGATGCTGATGCTGATGCGCTGATGCTGATGCGCTGATGCTGATGCGCTGATGCGCTGATGCTGATGCTGATGCGCTGATGCTGATGCTGATGCGCTGATGCTGATGCTGATGCGCTGATGCTGATGCTGATGCGCTGATGCTGATGCTGATGCGCTGATGCTGATGCTGATGCGCTGATGCTGATGCTGATGCTGATGCTGATGCGCTGATGCTGATGCTGATGCGCTGATGCTGATGCTGATGCTGATGCGCTGATGCTGATGCTGATGCGCTGATGCTGATGCTGATGCGCTGGTACTGATGCTGATGCTGATGCGCTGATGCTGATGCTGATGCGCTGATGCTGATGCGCTGATGCGCTGATGCTGATGCTGATGCGCTGATGCTGATGCGCTGATGCTGATGCTGATACGCTGATGCTGATGCTGATGCGCTGATGCTGATGCTGATGCGCTGATGCTGATGCTGATGCGCTGATGCTGATGCTGACGCTGATGCTGATGCTAATGCTGATGCTGATGCTGATGCTGATACGCTGATGCTGATGCTGATGCTGATGATGCTGATGTTGATGCTGATGCTGATGCTGATGCTGATGCGCTGATGCTGATGCGCTGATGCGCTGATGCTGATGCTGATGCGCTGATGCTGATGCGCTGATGCTGATGCTGATGCGCTGATGCTGATGCGCTGATGCTGATGCTGATGCGCTGATGCTGATGCTGATGCGCTGATGCTGATGCTGATGTGCTGATGCTGATGCTGATGCGCTGATGCTGATGCGCTGATGCTGATGCTGATGCGCTGATGCTGATGCTGATGCGCTGATGCTGATGCTGATGTGCTGATGCTGATGCTGATGCGCTGATGCTGATGCTGATGCGCTGATGCTGATGCTGATGCGCTGATGCGCTGATGCTGATGCTGATGCGCTGATGCTGATGCGCTGATGCTGATGCGCTGATGCTGATGCTGATGCGCTGATGCTGATGCTGATGCAAAATGCTGATGCTGATGCTGATGCTGACGCTGGTGCAAAATTGCTGATGCGCTGATGCTGATGCTGATGCGCTGATGCGCTGATGCTGATGCTGATGCTGATGCGCTGATGCTGATGCGCTGATGCTGATGCGCTGATGCTGATGCGCTGATGCTGATGCTGATGCTGATGCGCTGATGCTGATGCTGATGCGCTGATGCTGATGCGCTGATGCTGATGCGCTGATGCTGATGTGCTGATGCTGATGCTGATGCTGATGCTGATGCTGCTGATGCTGATGCTGATGCGCTGATGCTGATGCGCTGATGCTGTTTCTGATGCGCTGATGCTGTTTCTGATGCGCTGATGCTGATGCTGATGCGCTGATGCTGATGCTGATGCGCTGATGCTGATGCTGATGCAAAATGCTGATGCTGATGCTGATGCTGACGCTGGTGCAAAATTGCTGATGCGCTGATGCTGATGCTGATGCGCTGATGCGCTGATGCTGATGCTGATGCGCTGATGCTGATGCGCTGATGCTGATGCGCTGATGCTGATGCGCTGATGCTGATGCGCTGATGCTGATGTGCTGATGCTGATGCTGATGCTGCTGATGCTGATTCTGATGCTGATGCTGACGCTGGTGCAAAATTGCTGATGCGCTGATGCTGATGCTGATGCGCTGATGCTGATGCGCTGATGCTGATGCGCTGATGCTGATGCGCTGATGCTGATGCGCTGATGCGCTGATGCTGATGCTGATGCGCTGATGCTGATGCGCTGATGCTGATGCTGATGCTGATGCGCTGATGCTGATGCTGATGCTGATGCTGATACTGATGCTGATGCTGATGCTGATGCTAATGCTGATGCTGATGCTGATGCTGATGCTGATGCTGATGCTGATGCTGATGCGCTGATGCTGATGCTGATGCTCATGCGCTGGTACTGATGCTGATGCTGATGCTGATGCGCTGATGCGCTGATGCTGATGCTGATGCGCTGATGCTGATGCGCTGATGCGCTGATGCTGATGCTGATGCTGATGCGCTGATGCTGATGCTGATGCTGATGCGCTGATGCTGATGCGCTGATGCTGATGCTGATGCGCTGATGCTGATGCTGATGCTGATGCGCTGATGCTGATGCTGATGCGCTGATGCTGATGCTGATGCGCTGATGCTGATGCTGATGCGCTGATGCTGATGCTGATGCTGATGCTGATGCGCTGATGCGCTGATGCTGATGCTGATGCGCTGATGCTGATGCGCTGATGCTGATGCGCTGATGCTGATGCGCTGATGCTGATGCTGATGCGCTGATGCTGATGCTGATGCGCTGATGCTGATGCGCTGATGCTGATGCTGATGCGCTGATGCTGATGCTGATGCGCTGATGCTGATGCTGATGCTGATGCGCTGATGCTGATGCTGATGCGCTGATGCTGATGCTGATGCGCTGATGCTGATGCTGATGCGCTGATGCTGATGTTGATGCTGATGCTGATGCTGATGCGCTGATGCTGATGCTGATGCGCTGATGCTGATGCTGATGCGCTGATGCTGATGCTGATGCGCTGATGCTGATGCGCTGATGCTGATGCGCTGATGCTGATGCTGAGGCTGATGCAAAATGCTGATGCTGATGCTGATGCTGACGCTGGTGCAAAATTGCTGATCCTGATGCTGATGCTGATGCTGATGCTGCTGATGCTGATGCGCTGATGCTGATGCGCTGATGCTGATGCGCTGATGCTGATGCGCTGATGCTGATGCTGATGCTGATGCTGCTGATGCTGATGCTGATGCGCTGATGCTGATGCGCTGATGCTGTTTCTGATGCGCTGATGCTGTTTCTGATGCGCTGATGCTGATGCTGATGCGCTGATGCTGATGCTGATGCGCTGATGCTGATGCTGATGCAAAATTGCTGATGCGCTGATGCTGATGCTGATGCGCTGATGCGCTGATGCTGATGCTGATGCGCTGATGCTGATGCGCTGATGCTGATGCTGATGCGCTGATGCTGATGCTGATGCGCTGATGCTGATGCTGATGCGCTGATGCTGATGCTGATGCGCTGATGCTGATGCTGATGCGCTGATGCTGATGCTGATGCGCTGATGCTGATGCTGATGCGCTGATGCTGATGCGCTGATGCTGATGCGCTGATGCTGATGCTGATGCGCTGATGCTGATGCTGATGCTGATGCTGATGCTGATGCTGATGCTGATGCGCTGATGCTGATGCTGATGCGCTGATGCGCTGATGCTGATGCGCTGATGCTGATGCTGATGCGCTGATGCTGATGCTGATGCTGATGCGCTGATGCTGATGCTGATGCGCTGATGCTGATGCTGATGCTGATGCGCTGATGCTGATGCTGATGCGCTGATGCTGATGCTGATGCGCTGATGCTGATGCTGATGCTGATGTTGATGCTGATGCTGATGCTGATGCGCTGATGCTGATGCTGACGCTGATGCTGATGCTGATGCTGATGCGCTGATGCTGATGCGCTGATGCTGATGCTGATGCGCTGATGCTGATGCTGATGCGCTGATGCTGATGCTGATGCGCTGATGCTGATGCTGATGCGCTGATGCTGATGCTGATGCGCTGATGCTGATGCTGATGCGCTGATGCTGATGCTGATGCGCTGATGCTGATGCTGATGCGCTGATGCTGATGCTGATGCGCTGATGCTGATGCTGATGCGCTGATGCTGATGCTGATGCGCTGATGCTGATGCTGATGCTGATGCTGATGCGCTGATGCTGATGCTGATGCTGATGCGCTGATGCTGATGCTGATGCGCTGATGCTGATGCTGATGCGCTGATGCTGATGCTGATGCTGATGCGCTGATGCTGAGCAACGCAGCTGAGTGCGCGAGCAACGCAGCAGAGGCCGCGAGGAACGCAGCTGAGGGCGCGACGCAGCAACGCAGCAGAGGGCGCGAGCAATGCAGACGAGAGAGGACGAGCGACGCAGAAGAGGGCGAGAGCAACGCAGCAGAGGGCGCGAGCAACGCAGCAGAGGCCGCGAGCAACACAGCTGAGGGCGCGAGCAACGCAGCAGAGGGCGCGAACAACGCAGAAGAGGGCGCGAGCGACGCAGCAGATGGCGCGAGCGACGAAGCAGAGGGCGCGAGAAACGCAGCTGAGGGTGCGTGCAACGCAGCAGAGGGCGAGTGCGACGCAGCAGAGAGCGCGAGCAACACAGCAGAGAGCACAAGCAACGCAGAAGAGGGTGCGTGAAACGCAGGAGTGGCGCCCGCCTCACACCACAGAGGAGTGGCGCCCGCCTCACATCACAGAGGAGTGGCGCCCGCCTTCACACCACAGAGGAGTGGCGCCCCCCTCACATCACAGAGGAGTGGCGCCCGCCTCACACCACAGAGGAGTGGCGCCCGCCTCACACCACAGAGGAGTGGCGCCCGCCTCACATCACAAAGGAGTGGCGCCCGCCTCACATCACAGAGGAGTGGCGCCCGCCTCACACCACAGAGGAGAGGCGCCCGCCTCACATCACAGAGGAGTGGCGCCCGCCTTCACACCACAGAGGAGTGGCGCCCCCCTCACATCACAGAGGAGTGGCGCCCGCCTCACACCACAGAGGAGTGGCGCCCGCATCACACCACAGAGGAGTGGCGCCCGCCTCACATCACAGAGGAGTGGCGCCCGCCTCACACCACAGAGGAGTGGCGCCCGCCTCACATCACGGAGGAGTGGCGCCCGCCTCACATCACAGAGGAGTGGCGCCCGCCTCACATCACAGAGGAGTGGCGCCCGCCTCACATCACAGAGAAGCGGCGCCCGCCTCACACCCCAGAGGAGTGGCGCCCGCCTCACACCACAGAGGAGAGAGGAGTGGCGCCCGCCTCACACTACAGAGGAGCGGCGCCCGCCTCACATCACAGAGGAGTGGCGCCCCATAGGCGCCTCTTAACAGGGGAGGCTCCTCTTAGAGGAGAGGCGCCGCTTAGACAAGAGGCGCCCCTTAGAGGAGGAAGCGAGGGGAGTGGAGGAAACGAGGTGGGAGAGGAGGGCTGGATGACCCTTAAGAGGAGGAAGCGTGGAGAGAGGAGGAAGCGAGCTGGGAGAGGAGGGCTGGATGGCCCTTAGGAGGAGGAAGCGAGGCGAGTGGAGGAAGCGAGGTGGGAGAGGAGGGCTGGATGGCCCTTAGGAGGAGGAAGCGAGGCGAGTGGAGGAAGCGAGGTGGGAGAGGAGGGCTGGATGGCCCTTAAGAGGAGTAAGTGAAGCGAGTGGAGGAAGCGAGGTGGGAGAGGAGGGCTGGATGGCCCTTGGGAGGAGGAAGCGAGGGGAGTGGAGGAAGCAAGGTGGGAGAGGAGGGCTGGATGGCCCTTGGGAGGAGGAAGCGAGGGGAGTGGAGGAAGCGAGGTGGGAGAGGAGGGCTGGATGGCCCTTGGGAGGAGGAAGCGAGGGGAGTGGAGGAAGCAAGGTGGGAGAGGAGGGCTGGATGGCCCTTGGGAGGAGGAAACGAGGGGAGTGGAGGAAGCGAGGTTGGAGAGGAGGGCTGGATGGCCCTTGGGAGGAGGAAGAGAGGGGAGTGGAGGAAGCAATGTGGGAGAGGAGGGCTGGATGGCCCTTAGGAGGAAGGGAGGGGAGTGGAGGAAGCGAGGTGGGAGAGGAGGGCTGGATGACCTTTGGGAGGAGGAAGCGAGGGGAGTGGAGGAAGCGAGGTGGGAGAGGAGGGCTGGTTGGCCCTTGGGAGGAGGAAGCGAGGGGAGTGGAGGAAGCGAGGTGGGAGAGGAGGGCTGGATGGCCCTTGGGAGGAGGAAGCGAGGGGAGTGGAGGAAGCGAGGTGGGAGAGGAGGGCTGGATGGCCCTTAAGAGGAGGAAGCGAAGCGAGTGGAGGAAGCGAGGTGGGAGAGGAGGGCTGGATGGCCCTTGGGAGGAGGAAGCGAGGGGAGTGGAGGAAGCGAGGTGGGAGAGGAGGGCTGGATGGCCCTTGGGAGGAGGAAGAGAGGGGAGTGGAGGAAGCAAGGTGGGAGAGGAGGGCTGGATGGCCCTTAGGAGGAGGGAGCGAGGGGAGTGGAGGAAGTGAGGTGTGAGAAGAGAGGAGGGCTGAATGGCTCTTAAGAGGAGGACACGAGTGTAGTGAAGGAAGCGAGGTGGGAGAGGAGGGCTGGATGGCTGTTAGGAGGAGGAAGCGTGGGGAGTGGAGGATGCAAGGTGGGAGAGGAGGGCTGGATGGCCCTTAGGAGGAGGAAGCGACGGGAGTGGAGGAAGTGAGGTGTGAGAAGAGAGGATGGCTGGATGGCCCTTAGGAGGAGGAAGCGAGGCGAGTGGAGGAAGCGAGGTTGGAGAGGAGAGTAGGGCTGAATGGCTCTTAAGAGGAGGACACGAGTGTAGTGAAGGAAGCGAGGTGGGAGAGGAGGGTTGGATGGCCCTTAGGAGGAGCAAGCGTGGGGAATGGAGGAAGCGAGTTGGGAGAGGAGAGCTGGATGCCCCTTAAAGCAGAGGCGCCTCAGATCACAGAGGAGTGGCGCCCGCCTCACACCACAGAGGAGCGGCGCCCGCCTCACATCACAGAGGAGTGGCGCCCGCCTCACACCCCAGAGGAGTGGCGCCCGCCTCACACCCCAGAGGAGTGGCGCCCGCCTCACATCACAGAGGAGTGGCGCCCGCCTCACACCACAGAGGAGTGGCGCCCGCCTCACATCACAGAGGAGTGGCGCCCGTCTCACACCCCAGAGGAGTGGCGCCCGCCTCACACCGCAGAGGAGTGGCGCCCGCCTCACATCACAGAGGAGTGGCGCCCGCCTCACATTACAGAGGAGTAGCGCCCGCCTCACACCACAGAGGAGTGGCGCCCGCCTCACATCACAGAGGAGTGGCGCCCGCCTCACACCACAGAGGAGTGGCGCCCGCCTCACATCACAGAGGAGTGGCGCCCGTCTCACACCCCAGAGGAGTGGCGCCCGCCTCACACCACAGAGGAGTGGCGCCCGCCTAACATCACAGAGGAGTGGCGCCCGCCTCACACCGCAGAGGAGTGGCGCCAGCCGATGCGTACCTGTAGTTAGGCGCTGCCCTGTAGTCAGAGTGGGGTTAGCGTACCTGTAGTTAGGCGCTGCCCTGTAGTCAGAGTGGGGTTAGCGTACCTGTAGTTAGGCGCTGCCCTGTAGTCAGAGTGGGGTTAGCGTACCTGTAGTTAGGCGCTGCCCTGTAGTCAGAGTGGGGTTAGCGTACCTGTAGTTAGGCGCTGCCCTGTAGTCAGAGTGGGGTTAGCGTACCTGTAGTTAGGCGCTGCCCTGTAGTCAGAGTGGGGTTAGCGTACCTGTAGTTAGGCGCTGCCCTGTAGTCAGAGTGGGGTTAGCGTACCTGTAGTTAGGCGCTGCCCTGTAGTCAGAGTGGGGTTAGCGCACCTGTAGTTAGGCGCCGCCCTGTAGTCAGAGTGGGTCCAGTTAGGTCCAGCCAAGTGAAGATTCTCACCAGAGCGGTAGGTCCAGCCAAGTGAAGATTCTCACCACCAGCCAAGTGAAGATTCTCACCAGAGCGGTAGGTCCAGCCAAGTGAAGATTCTCACCAGAGCGGTAGGTCCAGCCAAGTGAAGATTCTCACCAGAGCGGTAGGTCCAGCCAAGTGAAGATTCTCACCAGAGCGGTAGGTCCAGCCAAGTGAAGATTCTCACCAGAGCGGTAGGTCCAGCCAAGTGAAGATTCTCACCAGAGCGGTAGGTCCAGCCAAGTGAAGATTCTCACCAGAGCGGTAGGTCCAGCCAAGTGAAGATTCTCACCAGAGCGGTAGGTCCAGCCAAGTGAAGATTCTCACCAGAGCGGTAGGTCCAGCCAAGTGAAGATTCTCACCAGAGCGGTAGGTCCAGCCAAGTGAAGATTCTCACCAGAGCGGTAGGTCCAGCCAAGTGAAGATTCTCACCAGAGCGGTAGGTCCAGCCAAGTGAAGATTCTCACCAGAGCGGTAGGTCCAGCCAAGTGAAGATTCTCACCAGAGCGGTAGGTCCAGCCAAATGAAGATTCTCACCAGAGCAGTAGGTCCAGCGAAATGAAGAGATGAAGATCCTCACCAGAGCATAGTGTCTGAGCCAGTGTTGCATGCGCCAGCACCATCAGCAGCAGCGCCAGAACTATCATCATCAGCACTGCATGCGCCATCACCATCACCACCAGATGAAGCTTCTCACCAGAGCAGCGCCAAGCTCCTCCCACTACCACTCCGTAGATGCTGCAGGGATGGGATGGGATGGGATGGGATGGGATGGGATGGGATGGGATGGGATGGGATGGGTTGGGCAGATGAAGATGGAGAGGGAGCGTTGAGGGACAGGTGAAAGAGGCAAACAGAGATGGAGTGAGAAAGCAAATGACGGGCAGAATGTCATAGCAGGGGCGAATGCAATAAGTGCGGGAGCCATATGGACTTTCGCTCTTTCAAGTGTCAGAAGGAGCGCCACTATCAGGAACCATCACCCTCACCAGCAGCACTGCCGTGCCATCACCAGGCAAGGTAAAGCGGCGGTAAGGATGGCAAGGGTTGAGGAGGGAACTTAGCGGGATTCAGAAGCTGCTCGTCGCCTTGTTAATGCCAGCAGCAGCCCTCCCAGCAGCAGCCCTCCCAGCAGCAACACTCCCAGCAGCAGCACTCAAGGTCGCTGGGCGCGTGAGGGAGCGGCGTGGTCAGCAGGGCATGCAGGAGGCACGCACGCCGCTGTGACTGCCTGCCGTGCGTCATCCCACCGCCCTCCCTCCCCGCACCACGCTGCCACAGCCCTGTGCGAGAGGGGGAAAGTTTCGGAGAGGGAAGGGAGCGAGTGGGAGAGAGGAGAGAAGGCAGAAGGGCGTGATTGACAAATTGTAAAGCGGCAGAAATAACGGGAGGAAAACAAAACGGAGGCATAATACTGTGAGAGTAAAAGCTGGAAGGTTGCACAGTGAAAGGGTAGGCGATGGTAGCTCATGGCACTAGGTTGGCGAGCTAGCAGGCAAGTGGGACGAGACGCGGGCGTGAGTGTGAGTGCATTCTAACCCTCTAGGACTCTAGTGTGAGCTCAAGCCGCCCCAGTGCCATGTGCTACCATCGCCACGCGAACGTTTTTAATACCTTCATGCGAAGGCGGCGTTTTGGTTCGAAGCATGCTTGAAAAGAGAGGCTGGGCAAATGTGAACACGAATTACAAGGTAAAGCGGCGGTAAGGTGAAAGGGTCCAAATTTGGCAGCAGTGAATGAGGGAGTTGGGGGTAGCGAACGGGAAAGGGAGGGGAGGACGGCTGTGCTGAGAGGAGACTTAGCTACAGGAAAATCAATCGTCCAGAGGAACTCGCCGTTCCGCACACGGTCGCGCGCAGCAACCCGCCGTTCCGCACACCGTCGCGCGCAGCAACCCGCCGTTCCGCACACCGCCGCGCGCAGCAACGCGCCGTTCCGCACACCGTCGTCGCGCGCAGCGACTCGCCGTTCCGCACACCGTCGCGCGCAGCGACTCGCCGTTCCGCACACCGTCTCACGCAGCAACTCGCGGTTCCAGACACCGTCGCGCGGAGCAACTCGCCATTCCGCAAACAGCGCGCAGCAAGTCGCCGTTCCGCACAGTCGCGCGCACCAACTCGCCGTTCTGCTCACCGTCGCGCAGCAAAGTCGTAACGTCGCATAACGTCGCACGCAGCTCGTCGCAATCTGCACATCGTCGAGCCATTCTGCACATCGTCGCACCCAGCCATTCTGCCATTCCGCACAGCGTATCACGCAGTAAGTCGCCATTCCGCACACCGTCGGACGCGGTTGGTCGCCATCATCCGCCACCGTCGCATGCGTAAGTCGCCAGTATCCCCAACGTCGCACGCTTTTGGTCAAGATTGGTGCTCCTCATCACCAGCGCCAAGCACGACGTGACAGCGACCTCACGGCGTGACAGCGACTCACGGTGTGGCAGCGACTCGCAGTCCATATCTCGCCACCCCTCCTCACGCTGTCTAGCGTGCTGTTCGCCGATCGTTGCACATCGCTAACCGCTTGATGTTCGCCCTCAACAATCTCGCTTCCCGCCGTTCGGCAGTCGTCTCCCGCTGCTTCGAGATTCGAAATCCCCCAATACCGCCACTCGCCGATCGTCGCACGATGCTACCAGCCAACAGGCTGTTCGACGCTACACGTTCGCTGCTCACTGTGTCGCCATGAGTCACCGCGACGCCGGTCGCCTTGCTGCTAGAGATCCACGGGCTGAGCCATCCGTGTGCGGCAGCGACGTCATTCGTTATCACGCATCGTTCTTGCAAGCGATGGCGGCTACGAAGCTCAGCAGATCAGCGACGTTGCTATAGAGCTTAGCGGAATAGTGACGGCACCTATGGACAATATTAGCCGATCAGCGACGGTCGTATGAAGCTTAGCGGATCAGCGATGCTACCTCTCGTATAGCTTCGAGTACCGCGAAGAAGACGGACTTTATCAAAAGAATCTGCTTCTGTCGTCTGGATGTGCTTCTTCTGCTGCTGCTGTTGACAGTCGAAACTATTACAGAGCTAGTTCTTTCATGGTGAAAGCTGTCGACCATGTCAAAGTATGCCGTTAGAAGACTCCGTGCTTCCGGCGGTACTGTCATGCGCGTACGGGATTGCCTGAAAGAGGTTACGGTATTGCCTGAGACGCTGAAAGCACTTCGGATGTCATTCCTGAGACTTCTGATAGGACACGGTGCTGCATAACGCTCTAGCGTCGATTGACGTGCTTCACGTTCCATGGTGACAGATTCAACTGTCTCGAAGGTTAAACGGAATATACGCGAGAACTAAAGCTGTGGAGATCCTTTTCGGGAAAAACGTATCAGCGAAATCATTGCTGAGCCAAGACGCCATAAACGACAGCCCAAAATATAGATGCTGGAATGTAACGGAATTAGCATTCGCGGCACTAGTACGATGGAGACTTTAGGGTTCGAGGTTAAGCAGTACCAACTCTTCCGAGCTAAACACTACGGTTTGTATTCAGGCTTCAGAAACTAAATCGTATCAAAATCTAGATCAGCATGATGCTGAAACGGCCGTATCGAGATATGCTACTACTCTCATGGCTATACTGAACAATTAGCGTTAAGTAACGATCGTAGTCTATGATAAGCAACCCGCTAAGGGATTTCGACGGTAGCCATGGCAAGCTGAGGAAGCCATGAGCTACGCTGAACTTGATAAATTCAGGAGGTGAGACTCAGGAGTCAGGAATTTGGCAGAGGTGAGTGGAATGAATCTCGGAATGCCGTGAGGCAGACGTTCAGCATGGGCAAGAGCTCCATCAACAACAGCATCATCAGGAGGTGGCCTTTGGGATGCCGCCAGCATCGTCCCAGCAGGATGGAGGCGAGGAGAGGTTTTCGGTGGTCCCCGCAAGCATTTCGCTAGCGAATGACAAGGGAGTAACTCGAATTTGTCGAGATTCGACCGTCAGTCGCCACCAAAGTGCTGACGAAGCGCAGTTTTTTTCGTATTCTGCGCGGGAATCTTCGCTACCAGCTCCCCCGAAATGTTCACTTGTACAACTACAATAAGTTTGTAATGGGGAACCAAAAAATCACTGTGGTGTACCTCGAGGCAGTGAATCCTCGTAAGCTCCCATTCCAGCGCCAACCACTCCATCCCCTACAAGCAGCTTTGTTCTGCTCTGACAGCAGCAGCTCCCTCCCGCCAGATCTGCTACCACCGACCTTCGCCTCAAATCTCCGCTGCGCTTCGGCCCGCCGCGAGAATTACCCCTTCGAGCCACCTCCTTTCGCGCTCTTTCAACCTTCATGGCAGCTTAGTGACCCCCCAAGGAAAATCTGAGCTTAGTTGGC